TTTAAGGGCTTTGAACTGCAAATGAAAAAAATAATTTGTGCAAACAAATTTGGAACTAAATGTTATAACATCTGAAATTTTGGCTGCATGCGGGGGCATCCGTGGCATGATGACACATTTCTAGTTATAAATAATAAAACGAATAAATGTTAAACACACCACAGGAAATTGACATTCTATAAGTAAGTAATTAAAAAATAACGGCAAATATACACATCTATACTGTAAATAAACACAAGGAACTTGCAACGCCTTTTGCACACTCGATACACATTTTATCTAATTACACACATGGAAATTCAATATCAACAAACTAGTTTAGCAATTTCTATACACAATACAAAATTATTCATTTTACAACCAATGATATTTTAAACCAAAGCATTGTATGATAGTAAATTGGCAATATTTACTCAAATGTCAACAAAATGTTTTGTCTGGCACTCCATTCTAATTTAAGTAACGGACCAGACACTATTTTTAGTAATGTACTACATGTATTTGTTATAAACATAAAATATAATTTATGAATCATCATTCACGTCAATATGAATCCAATCTGTATGTTATTGGATAAATATAGTCTGATTTAATTGATCTCTTAATTATGAATACATTATAGCACTCATTTAAATATTTGAATCCACTTCGGTTTAATGTCCGTTTATTTTACGAGAATTAATATGGAGTGTCACTGTGATATCAATTACGTTTGAAAAACTCCCACTAGCTTAATGTAGGCTCTCGTAACATCCGCAATAGCACAGTCGGTTAAGTGATTAACTAATGCATAAGAGGCCCCAGGTTCGATCCGTTCGACTGGACCTATCATGTTGATAAATGCACAGTATTGCTGATATGTACCTCTAGTCAAATTGTTGTTGGACATAGACGATTTTCTGTGAAAATTTCAAATGTACAAGCATACTTTTATTTCGTAACATACTTATATTTAGGCCAATAGCAAATACATTTACTTTTTATATAAATCTCTGTATTAGAAAATGACATAAATTGTGTATGTTAAAGGTGTTTAAAATGACGGCACTTGAAATAATTTTTTTGTGTGCAAATTTCAGCTACATGTTTTTCCAGAATAATTATTCTTATTGTAAAATATCAGACTAAAATAGCTCTTTTAAAATACAATTTTCATTCTTTACTAAGTATATTACTTAAATATCTTTTGCATATCTTTCCTTTTTAGCTCGACTATTCGATAAGAATAAGTAGAGCTATTGCAGTCACCCGAGCGTCGGCGTCGGCGTAACCACTTATGTTAAAGTTTTTGTAATAGTTCAAATATTTTCAAAGTCCATTGACATATGGCTTTGAAACTTTGCACACTTGTTCACCATCATGACCCCAACCTGTAGACAGGAGGGGGTAACTCTATCAAGCATTTTGACAGAATTATGCCCCTTTTTTGACTTAGAATTTACGTTAAAGTTTTTGTAATAGTTCAAATATTTTCAAAGTCCATTGACATATGGCTTTGAAACTTTGCACACTTGTTCACCATCATGACCCCAACCTGTAGACAGGAGGAGGTAACTCTATCAAGCATTTTGACAGAATTATGCCCCTTTTTCGACTTAGAATTTACGTTAAAGTTTTTGTAATAGTTCAAATATTTTCAAAGTCCATTGACATATGGCTTTGAAAGTTTGCACACTTGTTCAACATCATGACCCCAACCTGTAAACAGGAGGAGGTAACTCTATCAAGCATTTTGACAGAATTATGCCCCTTTTTCGACTTACAATTTACGTTAAAGTTTTTGTAATAGTTCAAATATTTTCAAAGTCCATTGACATATGGCTTTGAAACTTTGCACACTTGTTCACCATCATGACCCCAACCTGTAAACAGGAGGAGGTAACTGTATCAGGCATTTTTATGCCCCCGCCATGTAATGGCCGGGGCATATAGTGTTACCCTGTTCCGTCATTCCGTCCTTCCGTCCTTCCGTCCTTCCATCCTTCCGTCCTTCCGTCCTTCCGTCATTCTGTCATTCCGTCATCATCAGTTTCCGTTCATTATCTTAAGAACGGTTGCACACATTCAACTCAAATTTGACATATGAATATGTCATGACAAAATACAGGTCAAGTTCGAATTTGGTCATGGTTCGATGATTTTTGGCAGAGTTATGCCCCTTTTACTTTGAAAATAAGTTGAAATTTTCAGTTTCCGTTCATTATCTCCCCAACGGTACAACACATTCAACTCAAACTTGACATATGGATATGCCATGACAAAATACAGGTCAAGTTCGAATTTGGTCATGGTTCGATGATTTTTGGCAGAGTTATGCCCCTTTTACTTTGAAAATAATATGAAATTTTCAGTTTCCGTTCATTATCTCCCCAACGGTACAACACATTCAACTCAAACTTGACATATGGGGATATGTCATTAGAAAATACAGGCCAAGTTCGAATTTGGTCATGGTTCGATGATTTTTGGCAGAGTTATGCCCCTTTTACTTTGAAAATAATGTGAATTTTCAGTTTCCGTTCATTATCTCCCCAACGGTACAACACATTCAACTCAACTTGACATATGGATATGTCATGACAAAATACAGGTCAAGTTCGAATTTGGTCATGGTTCGATGATTTTTGGCAGAGTTATGCCCCTTTTACTTTGAAAATAATGTGAATTTTCAGTTTCCGTTCATTATCTCCCCAACAGTACAACACATTCAACTCAAACTTGACATATGGATATGTTTTTTGAATGCCCAGGCCAAGTTGGAATTTGGTCATGGTTCAATGATTTTTGGCAGAGTTATGCCCCTTTTACTTTGAAAATAATGTGAAATTTTCAGTTTCCGTTCATTATCTCCCCAACAGTACAACACATTCAACTCAAACTTGACATATGTATGCGTCAAAAGAATGCGCAGGTCATGTACAAATTTGGTCATGGTTCAATGATTTTTGGCAGAGTTATGCCCCTTTCACTTTGAAAGTAATATGAAATTTTCAGTTTCCTTTTATTATCTCCCCAACAGTACAACACATTCAACTCAAATTTGACATATGGATATGTTTTTTGAATGCCCAGGCCAAGTTGGAATTTGGTCATGGTTCAATGATTTTTGGCAGAGTTATGCCCCTTTCACTTTGAAAATAATATGAAATTTACAGTTTCTGTTCATTATCTACCCAATAGTGTTACATATTCAACTTAAATTTGACATATGGATATGTCAAAGGAATGTGCAGGTCAAGTTGAAATTTTGTCATGGTTTGATGATTTTTTTTGCAGAGTTATGTCCCTTTCACTTTGAAAATAATATAGATACATCTTAGGAATAAGCAGTTTAAGTATGAATTTGGTTGTGGTTCAATGATTTTAGACAAACTTATCTTTCCTGAATGTTGGAAAAATTTTGTACTTTCAGTTTCAGCACTCATACTTTTAGCCATTATTTTGGCTACAAATATGAAATATGTTATTTTTAAAAGGTTAAGACTGAATAATTTCAGTGTCTTGAACATTGTATGAAAATGGTTTGTGTTAACATTTTAAAGTTTTAAGGGCTTTGAACTTAAAATGAAAAAAATAATTAATGCACCATCTGAAATTTTGGCTGCATGCGGGGGCATCCGTGGCATGATGACACATTTCTAGTTTTACTATCAAGCACTAAGAATAGTCGAGCATGCTGTCCTACCGACAGCTCTTGTTAAGTTTCCCAGTTGGTCTGTGTAAGAAATATAAATTGTATGGTTTTTTTTTTGTGTCGCCTCTACGGAGTAGTGGCGACATATAGGGATCACTTCTCCGTCGTCTGTCTGTCCGTCTGTCTGTCTGTCAGCACTCACAGGACAGTAATTATGTGGCTAGAGGGACAATAGGTAACTGTTCTTTCTCTTTGATGTCATTCATTCCGTAGTGCTTTTATGTGGCTATTTTCTTTTGTGTGGCTAAAAAGAACAATACAGAGAACAATAGAGTAGCCACATAATTACTCTCCTGTTAGAACGTCCGTCTGTCCGTCCGTCACAAAACTTGTCCGGACTACTCATTAACTACTGGTGCAATTTCATCCAAACTTTACAGAAATGATCAGTACCAAGTCTAGTTGTGCATATTGTCAGCATTTTCCGGTTCAATGATTTTTATCAGATTTATGGCCCTTTAATAATTTTTAATTTTAAAGTTTGTCAGGACTACTTCTCTTATACCACTAATGCAATTTCAATGAAACTTTACAGGATTGATCTGTAGCTCAAGTCCTTGCGCATATTGCACGGGTTTTCCGGTTGAATAATTTTTGGTTGAGTTATGGCCCTTTGATAATAAGGTGTTTTTTTCTGTGTGTTGCCAGGTACACAAAAGCTTGTCCGGACTACTATTCATAAACTACTGGTGCAATTTCATCCAAACTTTACAGAAATGATCAGTACCAAGTCTAGTTGTGCATATTGTCAGCATTTTCCGGTTCAATGATTTTTGTCAGAGTTATGGCCCTTTAATAATTTTTATTTTTCAAGTTTGTCCGGACTACTTCTCTTATACCACTAATGCAATTTCAATGAAACTTTACAGGATTGATCTGTAGCTCAAGTCCTTGCGCATATTGCATGGATTTTCCGGTTGAATGATTTTTGGTTGAGTTATGGCCCTTTGATAAAGGTGTTTTCTGTGTGTTGCCAGATACGCAAAAGCTTGTCCGGACTACTCCTCATAAACTACTGGTGCAATTTTATCCAAACTTTACAGGAATGATCAGTACTAAGTCTAGTTGTGCACTGTCCGTCTGTCTGTCCATCTGTTACAAACTTTGTCTCAACATGAAATTGGCCATCATGAGGCGACACATGTGATCACTGATTGCTCATGTTTACTTTTGGACCTCAGTTCCTTTAACATAAAATAATGACAAGAGATTGTTATTCCTAACAATTTTGAATATATAACCAACTATTTTTATTAAAAAATATTGAAAAAAAAGGTATAGCTATTTTTATGAACTTCGATCATTATCTAATTGTTTAACATGTGGTTTTTACAGATGAGATACATTCATCCCACACTTGACATGTACATGCAGGATTAGGATATAAGTGCAATTACTTCATAGAAAACAGACAGCTTGCCAAATCAAGTTGGTAATATTTGTACAAGAGAACAAAATGTCTAATCCCTTTGGTTCACCATTTGGCGGGCAGCAGAATACTCCAGTATTTGGTAGTACTTCAGGTAATGTGTTTGGACAGAGCCAGGCCACAACAACCAGCACACAGGTAACATCCCCACCATCTTATGCTAGCACATTTGGTCAGAGCCCAGTATTTGGACAAAGTACAGGATTTGGACAGAGCTCGGGATTTGGACAGAGTTCAACATCTGGGGCAAGTTCGGGGCCTCCACCTTCCTATGCAAGCTCAGTGTTTGGACAAAGTTCTGCTACTGGACAGAGCTCCATGTTTGGACAAAGTATATCACAGGTACAAAGCTCTACACAGAGTGGAGGACAAAGTTCATTATTTAGTAGGCAAGGCACAGCTAGTTCTGGGGCTAATCAGAATGTTAGCTTTGGAAGCACCACATTTGGAGGAACTGGCCAGTTTTCAAGCAGTACACAAAATCCTACTTTATTTGGTTATTCTGGAGTTTCAGATGTTTCACAGTCAACAGCAGCTTCATTTAGACTACCTACACCTGCAGGTGGATTATTTTCTTCAAGTAGTTCATCTTCAGACAGTACTGTAGAAGTAAAGAAAGAACCATCTTCTAACCCTCTGTTTGGTGGACCATCAAATGTGAAAACAGAGCCTTCACAAAGCTTTCAAAACACAGCTGGTATGTTTGGAAAAACATCTGCTGGTAATTTTGCTTCACCAAATTTATTTAGCAGATCAAGTGCTCCATCTAGTGGCAGTTCAACAAGTACTGGGTTGTTTGGAAAGCCAGAAACAGGAAATATTGGATCTGTATTTGCTGAGAGAATAGATGTTAAACCTCCACCATACGGCACAGAGTTTCTACAGAAAAGTTCGTCTGAGATCAGGGATGTTAAACCTGTAGGATTGTTTGGTAAAGTAAAACAAGAAGAGACTGGTACTAAATCTTCAGTATTGTTTGGTGGGAATAAAATCAAAGAAGAGAACCAGTCAAAAGAAGAAAGAGGTCATAGTTCACACCTGTTTGGTAAAGGAAAATCAGAAGGTGGGGAAGAAGAGGAAAACAAAGGTCTTTTTGGAAAAAGAATGACAGAAAATAGTAGTGCTACTGCTAGAGGCACAGGACTGTTTGGAAAGGGGAAAGCACTCAGTCAAACACTATTTAACAATCCATTGAAAAAAGAAGGTAGGGTATAATTTGTATCATTATTTGAAAAAAACAGTAAGCTTCTTTTATCAGTTAATAGTTACAAAGAAAAGTTACTGTAAATAAGTTGGTGTAAGTAATTCATTTGTCAGTTAAATTACATATATGTGTATGAATCATTCTATGTTGTGCTCTGAAAAAGAAATTTTTAAATTTTCATCCCTCTCCACTCTCTCCCATCAACAAGTTTTTAAATAAATTATCTTCTTTTTACATAACTTAAAATCTTATTTATAGAACAAAAAATGAATAGTGAACATGTTGTAAATGTTAAACCGTTAAATCTTGTAAAGATTCAGGTATACTTTTTTAAGGAGGATGTATAAATGTATATGTACATGTTGACATGTTATATGGCCTTTTATTATACTGCACGTTTGTAACGTCGCTTTTCATTGGTTAATTGTGACGTTTATATAGTGTTATATACTCGGCTGCTGTCGATTTATAAAGAAATATCGCTTTATTCCTCTTAAAAAATGGTGCTTGCTGTATTGTATTATAAATTCGTTATAAAGATATCTGACAGGTTATAATTATGGTCATATATAAATGGTCATTTGCAATATAATCCTTGCTGCTATACAAACAACCATTTATACAGGGCCATATAACTTAACAAATAAAATAAAATGCCTTTTTACAGTGATGAATGATGTGACTGTTTATGGTATAGTAATGTCAATATATACTTTACTTTTAACATACAGGAAGACTCTCCAGATCGACTCAAGGTGATGAAGATGAAAACCCAGTAAGTGTTCATATACCCTAAATTTCTTACATCCATGCATTGTTATTTCTTTAGAAACTCCTGGTCATTGTATGGTGTCTTTTGTATAATTTAAATTTATAAGAGTTACCATATAAAGATTTTCTCAATAGTGGTGTATTGTTTTAACAAACCCTCATAGCTATTGTTGCATAGGTCATCCTTTCAAAATGGCATTTGTTATAGACAAGGTTATCAGCTCTGTAAAGGAAGATGGATTGTAATCATAATGAAAACAGTCATAGGTTAAAGTGAGGGTTTGAAGTGATTTAGGGCATTATGTATTACTGTAGTTATAACTGAATTAATTGATTGAAGGGATTTTGAATGGCTGCATTTATGATGAAATCATTGAGGGTATTATGTACATGTATTGCTACATGTATGATTTGGGAATTGAGGGTATTATATATTGCTTCTATTGAAGTGGAAACTGAGGGCATTATGTATTGCTACAATTATAATTCAGGAAGTGAGGGTATTAGGTATTGCTGCAATTATAATTCAGGAACTGAGGGTATTAGGTATTGCTGCAATTATGATTGGGGAACTGAGGGCATTATGTATTGCTACAATTATGATTGGGGAACTGAGGGTATTAGGTATTGCTGCAATTATAATTCAGGAACTGAGGGTATTAGGTATTGCTGCAATTATAATTCAGGAACTGAGGGTATTAGGTATTGCTGCAATTATGATTGGGGAACTGAGGGCATTATGTATTGCTACAATTATGATTGGGGAACTGAGGGCATTATATATTGCTACAATTAAGGTTGGGAACTGAAGGCATTAGGGCATTAGGTATTGCTACAATTATGATTGGGGAACTGAGGGCATTATTGTATTTATGACAATTATAAGTAACTGATACTACAATTATGATTATGTAACCGAGAGCTGAGGGCATCATGCTTTTTGTTAGCTTGAGTTAGAATAGAGTAAAATGACATAATATAAATGAGTATATATTTACTAGTTACAGGAACAGACAGATGATGATTACAATAAGACATCTGCCAGGAGTTTGTTTGGTAAACCTGCCCCTAAAGCTGGTATGTTAAATTATTATACTTTATTAATACTTAAAAATATTAGAATAAATCTAAAATACTATACTAACCCTTGACAGATGTTTGGTATAGAGATTGTTAGCTGACTTGCATGTAACTCAATAGGGTGGGCATCAGATTTGTAATCTACGGGTTGCAGGTGTGATCCTTGGGTGAAGTGTGATTTCTGTGTGACAGTTGATCCCAGACATTAAGTCATTTGTCTCTCACCATTGATTCAGAAATCATGTCATGTTAGTAGTCAGTCACTTGTGGAGTAATTGGTACAGATGACTTGTTAGTTATATCCAGGAAAATCTGTTAGGTGAGTTGGCCACCAAGATAAAACCAAAGTGTGTTACAATTCTACGTAAAACCAGAAGAGAAAAAAAGCTCTAAAGAGGTTAAATTAATTGTGAACTCATTGAGAAGAATTGAATCTGTTGTAGGATGAGACTGAAAAAAAGGGTTGGAGCACTACAATAAATACCATATTTCGGTATATAGTCCTGGCAAATGGCATGAATGTTAAATTCTAAAATTTTGACTTTTCGCCCACAAAAAATGCACTTTAAGATGTCTATTTCAACTCGTCACACAGATATATATATATATACAACCATGAATGGAAAATAAAAGAATCAGCAAAAATGCCTCTTTTTTTCTACTTTGTGAGCCAGATTTCTGAAAGAGGTATGGCTTCAACACTGTGTTGAGTTAAATCCCAGCTGTAAGATTGCCAACTAAAATAAAATGTTTGTACAGCCTGAATAGAGTGAGGTTAGCCTGAATAGCCTCAGCTCCTCAGTTTTATTATTTTCATGCTGAAATCCCTCAAATCTACAACTGACTGGTCCAAATTCAAAAAATGGGAAAATTCATCACAGTAATCCTGAATGCTGTAAAGAATGCTGATTAGCTCTTTCTAATATATCGTTACCACAGCAACCAAAAATAAGTTAAATAATTTCAGGGAGTTCAGGTACAGGATTGTTTGGTAAACCAGCTAGAACCAGAGAACCATCTACCTCAGGTAAATATTACTATACTGTCAATTATAATTCATTTGTTATTGATCTTGTATATTTGCTTAAAGTATAAACCCCTATCTATAATGTGTCATCTTAGTGCAGTAACAGGTTAAGTCCTTCTAAATTTAATAGCAGTTAACCTGTAATTGCACTAAGGTGATGATATCTATTTGCAATATAGTATTCAATGGCATTGCAAAGTAATGTATTAGAATATTGATATTAAAACAATAATTGAGGGATCTCTGTTGCCAAGTTATTACAGTTACCCTCTTGTAACCATTGGTCCCCTCACCCATGTGTGTTTGTATCCCACCAGGGATCTTGATACTTTCATATGAGGCAAGACAATGGAAGGACAGTGATACGACTTAGATTAGATTCATGCTTTTATCTGAAAAAAATTAATGCAGAGGGGCGCTTGAGGACTTCCTTCACCAAGAAAGCTGGATAGTTGTCATATGACCTCAGCAGCGGCCATGTGACTTTTACCCCATTCAAATAAAAACCTAAAAAATAATAAATAATAATGATTATACATAGTAATACTAAAGCAGAGTTAACCTGAATTTGAAAGGCAAAGATGCATAATTGCAGGAAGTACATAAGCTTACTAAAATACATTGAAAAGTAATATCTCTTAAGAATGAGAGTGTTTAATTGCTTCTTTATAAATGTTCACAGACTGATTTTAGTTTACAGCTCATAGACAGGTTATAACATAGTTTATTTCTAACAGCTGTGTTTTAATTTTGCCAAAACTGACAACTTCTGTACTGTTGTGGTGTTTATTATTTTATTGTTGATAACTTTTGTGCAAAAAAATCTTTTTTTACCTAGAAAGAGATGCACAACGTACATAGCATCACATCTTGTTGCCTTAGCAACATACTGCTTTATTTGCATAGAAACAAAAAAAAATGGTCCCTTGTAGAAATTCCTTTTTTCTTGTCACACAACACTTTTATGAATGTTCAAACATCCAGACTGAATACCATAACTTTTTGCTGAACAGATATGATTTTACATAATATCTTCTTTTTTTTCACCTTGAACAGATTCTTTGTTTAATTTTTTTTTGGATTCATATGTCAAATATTGTTTATACCCCGGTCACATATTCACGGAAGAGCCACGGATTAATTCCAGCATCGTCCGTAGCTACCCGTACTGGTCAGTAGCTCTCCGTATTATAACCGTAATCAATCGTAGTAGTCTTTGTATATCCGTAGCGATCCTTGACAATTTTTGAACATGCACAAAAATTTGCTACGGAAAAATCAACCGTAGCGTATCCCTGCTAGTCCGTATTAAACCGTACTGATACGTACTGGTCCGTACGAAAACCGTTCTAGTCTGTACTGATGTACTGATTCGTAGTCCACCAACTTGTCAAGGATTTCCACGGTTTGGTACGGAGAACTACGTATTTGTACGGTTACCCTACGTATAAGCTATGGTTTTAATACGGATTAATACGGCATACTCACGGAAAGCCACGGTCGTAATACGTTGTACTACGGAGAGGCAAGGATTAGCACGGTCTTATACGGTTTATTGCGTTGCAACACGAAACGGTACGGAATGGTACGGTCCACTACTGTTTATTACGGATCATGTACTTTTTCAAGGGTATAAAATACTACCTTCTTGTTAAAAACAGACATATTTGCGCAAACATTTAATAAATGATAATTGCCATTTACTGGCTGCAACTTTATATTGAAATGGCTCAGAATGCGGAGGCAGTGGTCGAGCTGCTTGATGACATGCATAGAGGTAAAAATATATTAATATCGTACTAGCTACAATTCATAAGAAATAGAATAACATTTAATGTTACATATTTTACAAACATTGGATCGTGAAATTGGAGTAAATATGTACATTAATCAAGTGTCTCATAAGCCTGGGACGCTGGCTATAAGATTAATTCACAAGATTTTGACATATTTTTAAAACATAAACATTCATGATAATCAATGTAATTATAAAATGAACAGCAAATTTTAAAATTAAAAAATCTACATTTTTATGCCCCCACAATGTGGGAGCATATAGCGTTGCACTTGTCCGTCCGTCCGTCAGTCAGTCCGAGCCAACATTTGATTATTATGAGCTTCATTCCGTAGTTAAATAAAGAACATTAACTCATAAAATTTAAAATTAAGAGTTTTTTTTGTTTTTATGAGCTTATTTTGCTTATGGACGTTGGTCCAGGTGGTGTTTATGAGCTCATTTGCCTCATAAACATCAAATTTTGGTACGTCCGTCCGTCCGTCCGTCAGTCCGTACGTCCCGAAATCTTGTGAACGCAACTCCTCTTAAACCGGATGGCAGATTTTGCTTAAACTTACAGGGATGAACAACCTTAATGTGTAGATGGTAGTAAAGGAAGGAATTTTTGCTGCGACCAAATTTAACAGAATTATGGCCCTTTGTTGATTTTTTCACTAGATACTATGTAGAAATTTTGTGAACGCAACTCCTCTTAAACCGGATGGCAGATTTTGCTTAAACTTACAGGGATGAACAACCTTAATGTGTAGATGGTAGTGAAGGAAGGAATTTTTGCTGCGACCAAATTTAACAAAATTATGGCCCTTTGTTGATTTTTTCACTATATACTATGTAGAAATTTTGTGAACGCAATTCCTCTTAAACCGGATGGCAGATTTTGCTTAAACTTACAGGGATGAACAACCTTAAGGTGTAGATGGTAGTAAAGGAAGGAATTTTCGCTGCGACCAAATTTTACTGAATTATGGCCCTTTGTTGATTTTTTCACTATATACTATGTAGAGTTTTTTTGAATGCAACTCCTCTTAAACTGGATGGCAGATTTTCCTTAAACTTCCAGGGATGAACAACCTTAATGTGTAGATGGCAGTAAAGGAAGGAATTTTTGCTGCAACCAAATTTAACAGAATTATGGCCCTTTGTTGATTTTTTCATTATATACTATGTAGAAATTTTGTGAACGCAACTCCTCTTAAACCGGATGGCAGATTTTGCTTAAACTTCCAGGGATTAACAACCTTAATGTGTAGATGGTATTAAAGAAGGAATTTTTGCTGCGACCAAATTTAACAGAATTATGGCCCTTTGTTGATTTTTAGTTTTCAACTTGTGGCACATGTAGTCCAAAAAATATTTGACCTAGAGTCATAAGATTGACAGAACAGTGGCGTGTGGGGGCATCCGTGTCCTATGGACACATTTCTAGTTCCTGAATGATTTCTAGTCCATATCTAATCAGGTAAGAGAAAACAGACGAGATGGTGGACTAGAGATCGGGTTTACGAAGACCCCTTCATGTTTAGTATGAGGCTCTCATGGCCAAACTTGTTTAGGATCCAGCGTCCTTCAAGGAATTCACTTAAATCCGACCTGAAATGTCTCGGGGATCGGACGCGATGAGGCCGAATACTCTCCGCCAAAATCTATGAACTCTGCAATTCGTTTTCTAGCTGTTCTTTTCTTGTGTGGTATTTTGAAAATGAGCAAGCGGATAAAATAGGTCCGTATCGATCCGTGGCAATTCGTTCTTCTCCGTATCAATTCGTTTTTCTCCGTATCAGACCGTACTTATTCGTACTAACCCGTGCTTATACCGTAGCAGACGTAGTGTATCCGTAGTGCGTCCGTCCTGATTTGTGTTGCTCCGTATCAAACCGTGTCGGTCCATAACAATCCGTGTCTCTCCGGGGGCTTTTGGTGGTAAATCCGTCAGACTCCGTACTCATACCGTTTTGTGTCCTTACTGGAACCGTAGCTGACTACGGAATTCCACATTTCCATAGTAATCCCTGAAAGATTAGACCGTAGCTCTTCCGTGGCATTATCCGTGAATATGTGACCGGGGCATTATGCAAGTTAAGTCAATTTTGTAATTCATGCGGATGTTTTATGATATAGAAGAGAAGGAGGAGTCGTCTCGACATTCGTTACGTCGTCAGATATCAGACGAGGTGAGCAGTAAGGTGGCGATTGTTTGTCGTAATATACCACATAAATACAACACTATCGCAAACCTGAGGGCACATTTTAAACGATTCGGAGAAGTAACAAAAGTGTTTCCCAACCAGGGAAAGATGCAGGCCACAATACACTTCAGAACTCATGTAAGTTTTCATGAAATTTCTTCATCTTAAACATTTAACATAATGAAATTGTCCATTGGAAAATTTTTAAGAAAAACCTAGAATAAATTAGAGACTAGTTGTACTAGTTCAAGAGCTAAGTGGCATCTACCATGTTCATTTTCCAGTAAAAACTGTAAAGTAGCCAAAAGAACTCATCTTTTTCAGCCAGGTTAAAAATTCTACAAACATTATATGATGGAAAATTACATGTAATGTGTGTTGTAAGTTATCAATGGCTGTATTTGAACTATCTCCTGTGTACACCTATAAAACTATAGAAAATGTTAATATTACATGTATATCGTATGGTTTTTGTTATTTGGAAAAAACAACAGGATGCTGCAGCAGAGGCAAAACGTAGGGGACGTTTATTAGCTCGAGGTGTGTTGCCTATGACGATATTCTGGAGTACATATTCTGGAGGGTCGGCTCCCAGGGCAACAAAAAGTTCAACTGATGCAGATGTTAAACCAAGTAGACCTGTTAAAAGAACCAGTGACAGTATGTTACACTGTTTACTCAGTTATTGTTTAACTTGTGACAAAACTGATTCAACTCTTATACAAACTTAATCTAAGTTTCCGTTTGGGTTTCCTCTTTTACCAAAACATGTGGTTTGTAGTTCCTAAAATCAATAAAACTTCATATAGATTTAGCTAAGTTGAAAGAGTTTAAGTAGATTAACATATTTACTTACACACGCAACTATAATTATATATTAAAGATACTTTCTGTGAATAGTATGTGCCTTGCGTTAGATTAAATCCTTTTATTCATACACTTGACAACATAAGAACAAGTTATAAAATTTGATATGTTTATTAAAATTAAATCAAGTTGTGAGTCAAACTTCTTTAAACAATTCTGTTAAATGTTATGAATTATAAAACAAAAAAGTCTGTAGCATATTTTGTATTCTCTAGATAAAGTTAAATAAAGTAATCCTTTTTCGTGACTGGATGACTTGACTTTACTTGATTGTTTCTTGAATAATTAGTTTACTGTTGCAGCTGACTTATTGCCAAAGTCCAAGAAGCCATCATGGAAGGGAGGTGAAACTGTGAACGAAGAGCTAGAGAGTATGTCAGGAACACAAGATATCAAGGGTAGAGTGAAGGAACTAGCAAGATCCCCGGAGAAACGGTCACGTAGTGTCAGTCCAACACCAACAACATCAACGTCCGCGCATGATATAAAAGCTGACAAAAGTAATTTATTTGTTAATATAATAAAATATGCTAATTTGAATTTGCTGTAACTTTCGACCTCGTCAGAGGCATTTATTATACATACAAATATATTCAGACAAAACAAGGGAAGTGATGTAACGTCATTGAGAGACACCCACCGTGGTGTTGTGGCTGTCTGCCTACTTATTCTTTAGTGTTTACTCCCTAAGGTTGATATGTTCTTAACTTATCTTTCCACAAATTTTCAATTGTCTCCCTGTATTGGTCAGCAGGTATAGTTTTTTTGAGCCCAATTATTGAAAATTACTGACTGTATAAAAAAGTGTTGCTCCCGTATCATTATACTTCTGTATTGTTGATAAGTTGAGAAGATGTGAATATATATATATACATGTTATATATATGACAGAAGGCATTAATGTCATTTATTCTTGTTTAATTGGCATGTTTACTTTTTAAAGACTTTCAGTTCTCTAGCTCTTGAAATAATAAAACAAAATAAGTTGAATTTATTTAAAGCTGGGCAAATTTGTTTAACAAATTCCAAAAGGTTTTAAGGTTAAACATGAGAAATTGTGTACTTAATTTATGATAAATACAGAAAAATGTAGTGAAAAACTGGTAAGATGTTTTCAATGTTTAGATATAAATGTTAACATTATGTATTTTAGTTGTGGTAAGCATGTTTGAGGGTTGTGTTGCAAGAACTACAACAGAACGTGTGAATCTGCTGAGATTAAGAGATAAATATATCAGAGAAAGTAAGTGACATTTTTACTATCTTTAGTTATATTTGTTCATGTACTTGAAGATGAGACGTTTGTTATATGTTTATGTACAAGGGTTGTCCCAAAATAGTATATATCAAATTTGAAATAAGGTATTATTGTTTTAGACATTTGTTTGTTAAGTTTCGGGAGGGTAAACACAAAAGTTCTGTCTTTAATGCGTAATTTTTTAACAGCTATTGGAAGCTTTCTACCCTGTGTCAATTTCTTATACTGTTTCAGTATTTGTTCTATGTACCTTCATATCTTGAATAATAATGACAGTTCATTAGGAAATTATTATCAACATTAAGAACAAGAATTGACACATTAATTGCAATATGTTTGAAATGATGTCAGTATATAAAATTAATATTGTAATTACGGGGCTTGTTTTTCAAGCAGTGATAAAGTATGTGCTTATGTACTTTAATATTACACATTTAACATTGGTGTACTCGTAGGTTACACGTTTTACACATTTGTATATGTACTTCTATCACATGTTAACTGTTTATCTATGTAGAGGGTGTCATTATGTATATTTTATTTAATACTAAACATATGAATTTTAGATCGTGTTAAGGGAAAGAAAGATATAGTAAAAGCGTTTATTGGCACATGTCCAGATATGTGTCCGGAGAAAGAACGTTACGATCGTGAAGATAAACGACAGCTGAGTTATTATGAGATTATACCAGGAACAGAGAATATCGTAAGTTAAATCATCTCATCTATTTACATTATTTACTGCATTTATCCTTTAAGTTGTATAAAATTTTCATTCCAGAGTGAATAAGTGGGATTTATGATTGAATTAAGATTGTGAGAAACTCTATCAAATTCATGGATGCGGTATTTATAAAGTAGCTCAAGTGACTTCGTATAGTGTGCAATGTTTACAAGAACTTCTAAATGACATTTAAGAGCAGAAGATTTGTTATGAATGGTATTGTAAGAAAATAGCATGTTTTAATTTGTTTTCATCTTGTTGTATTATATATTTATCATATATGAAATTTTAACTTCCTACAGTTATATGATTATTTTGTGAACTATGTTTTACAGCCTGGTAAGAATCCACAGATAGATCACAGTAGAGCAGTGAAGGAATATCTTAGATCATCACCAGATCAGGTATGTTTATATTGTTAAACCATGTTTTACCTGGTTATAATTAGATTGGTGAATGTTAACAGGCAGCTAGGCATAACTACATGTAATTTCTTCTGTGCACAATTTCTCCTATATTTCGTAAATGGATCAGAACCAAACTTTAGCAGAATGATTGTCATCAAGTGAAGGAGCAAATATTGTCAGGATTTATTTTATTTGAACTTTTTTTTTTGAAGAAAAAATAGCCCTTTGGTATTTTTCTTTTGAATCAATCTCATGAATGGGAGGTACATGCCTTTGACCTGTTACTCTTTAGCATAATATTATAGTTAAATAGTTATGGCCTTTTGAAATTTTGTAATTTTTCATGCTTTATTTTTGTCTAGAGCCAAACTGAAAAAGCTTTGGAGGTATTGACTTGAAGCTTTATAGAAAGATTCATTTTTTCAAGGAAATGTACAGTATTCTAGAACCATAACTCTGTTTTGAATAATTTAAGGGTTATTCCAATGTGTAATTTTTGACCTAAAGCGTATCTTCTTATAACCATATTGGCAAAGCAACAAATGTATCTTGGCCAGTACAGTAGCAGTTTTAAGTTTTTACAAGTCCCATAAAAAACATATGGGACAATTGTTTCAAAAAATATAGAATTTGTATCATAAATGAAAATTATGTAATATTTGAAGAACTGAAGATAACCAATATATAAAGAACAAGCACTATAAGATAACCAATATAAAAGTATGTAGACCAATCACTATATCAGTAAACTATTATAATTTCAGGATGAACCTCTACCTCATGAGTTACGTCCCATACCTGTATTACAATCTACAATGACCTACTTGTTACGTGAAGTTGTAGACAGAGGGGAAGATGGTCGTTGGGGAGACTGGTTCGATTTTCTCTGGAACAGAACTAGAGGCATCAGAAAGGTAAGTTATAACTGTGTTTTTCATTTTCAATTTTTTTTTTTTTGGAGACATGACCTTGACCCTTAAACTATTTCATCTAACTTTGTAATTTACTGAGGACTGGCGCCTAAATTTTATTAGCATATTTTACCTAAAATTAAGAATATAAAGCTCTACAGCCCCAAGTATAGAATAAAGAGTTCTGTTAAAATTTACAACAACAGAATTAAACAAGACAACACTTGACATGTAGATGAAATTAACAAAATTTGTTGTAAAGACAAATATTTATTAGGCCAAGCTTATTAATATAATTGGAGCTAATATGAAACAGTGATTGACAGTCATGAAACCCAGAGCTTTAGCTTGACCAAATTCTAGGGAGAAGTGAAAAAGAGCCGCAAAGTCCATATCGCTTTAATGTTCAAACTTGGGAAAGTTCAAAGACATTAGGTGACTTAGTTGCTCAAATTGCCCAGCTGCAAGAGCCATGAAACCTGTCAGAAATCTGTAGAAATCTTTAAAACTCTGCATATTGGCTTTTTACATTAAAAAAGAAGTTAACTCATAGACTTGTGGGAGCGATGAATGTTGATTTTATAAACACCATGGTTGTCCAGTGAAAATCTACATTACGAACATGCAGATTGATAACGTAAGAGTGAATCATGTCAGGTTTTTTTTCTCTAATATTTACAGGATATAATCCAGCAACAGTTAAATGATCGTGATGCTGTAGATCTGATAGAGAAATGTGTCAGGTTTCACGTTTATTGTTCGGAGAGGTTGTGTGAGGAAGATATGCATTCCTTCGATGCTAAAATCAACAACGAGAACCTGACCAAGTGTTTACAGACTTTGAAAGAATTTTACCCGGATTTGGAGAAGAAGCAAAAATGTTTTTGTGAGAACGAGGCGGAGTTCCGAGCCTACATGGTCCTCATGAATCTTAATCAAGGAGATACTCTCAGGTAGAGTGTGAATTATTGTGTATGTCAAGGTTAAGCTTTATGGCTGAAGGTCATAATTATATTCCTTATTGTTCATGATAAGGTTATTCATGTATATGTGTGAGTATTGTGTATTTTATGGCTATGAATTTTTAAAGTATTGTGTTGTCAGGGTTATACATAAGATATTGTAAAGGCTTTTATAGTTTATTAACATTGTTCCAATAGAAATCTGCCCACAACTGGTCTGCTATATGTTTCATATTGGAGTGGCTAACATTTTGACCTTAAATATATCAAATAAGAATGTAAGACTTATATTTTCATTTCATATATAGGATGGTGCCCTTGGCTGTGGCAGTACTTAATTTTTCTGTATATTTGTGAGAATGAAATGTATTTACTTTCACTTATTTATTTTACTTGTTGTGGCTGTTGCATTTTAACTTAAAAGTGCACAGTTGACAGTACTTGTAGCCTATTACATAAGGTCGATTTTAAGACTCTTTTTGTCATATCTCAGGGGTTTGGTTCACCTAAGACCTATGACCAGAAGATGTTCAAAAACTGTTGTCATGAAGAAATTTCACCTTGCCCAAGGAACCCTTATCCTAACCAACAACTCATGGATTGTAAATCTGATGATCTCCCTATTAGGCTACACGGACGGACACACTATAGCATGAACGGTGTCTGTATATTGTAAAGTGGTACAATAATCATTAATTTGATTCCATATAAATTAATATCCTACTGTCATTTCTTGTAGAGAAGTTCAGCAACTAAGACCTGAGATTCGGACATCACCTGCCATCAAGTTTGCACTACAGTCTTACTTTGCCCTCAATGGTAACAATTATATCAAGTTCTTCCGGCTAGTAAAGCAAGCATCGTTCAGTAATGCATGTATTATGCATCGATATTTCACACAAGTGAGGAGTCGAGCTCTTACGTTAATGATGAGAGGTTACAGTATGGGCAACAGAGCAGCACAGGTAAATTATATTACATTATATATATTTATACAATATATTAATAGTTATATAGAGTTTGACAGGTTATATGGTAAAAAAATTTATTAGGTTATATAGTTTTTGACAGGTTATATGGTAAAAATATATTATTTGGTCACATAGACTTTGACAGTTTATATGGTCATGTATTAAATAGAGAAAAACCATATCCCTCAAGAAGGCCCAAAATGTCAAAAATTGAATATGGTGCTGGCTAAGTTTGATTAAGCCTGTTTATGGATAGTAGTGGTAATTTCAAGCTACCGTCCACAACCCTTAACACTGGCTTAAGCAGAATTCAAGATGAACATGAACTGGTAAAATTTTGAAACATCAACAGATGTGTTCATATGGCAGTTGTCAAAGCTTTGATAATTAAAAAATTAAGCAGAAAAAAAAAACAAAAACATTTATACATAGAGGATATTGAATGAGTGTAAGTTCAATACTGAATTTATTGAATGAGTTGAATAAAATTATATGATGCGAGCCTCTGTATTTATATTTTATATGTTTTTTCCGTCAAATAGATACCAGTGACAGAACTTGTAAGGTTGTTGGGTTTTGAGAGTGACAATGAAGCTTCAGATTTCTGTCAACATTACGGTCTGAACGTTAGTGACAGTGAGGTGATTCTAGACAGAGCCGAGTATATAGAGCCGGACACGGCATTATTACCTGTCAGAAGTGTGAATCTCATAGAATCCAAGTTAATGGTGACAGTTGGGGAGGTACATTTACAATTAGTTTAAACATATTTATGTAAGCTCGATTGCAAAACAAGTTATTGCAACTGATATTTATCACTTTTGAGACCACTTCCTGGAACTAACCAGTACTGATGTCAAATGAAGAAAGAAGAACGTGACCCCGAGTAGGACTTGAACTCATGATTCATTGGTTGAGAGACAGGCACCTTAACCACTAGGCCACCGCTCCCCTTACATCTTAAAAAATTGCTTATTTATGTCAAAAACAGCATAGAATATGGTGGCTGCAGACAAAAGCTTTGGAGTTTAGATTTCAACATATTAAAAGATGCTATTATGCTTTATTCAAACTCTAACGCAATTGACTATGTTTCATCTTGTACCTTGTACTAACATAGACTTAATGGCTGTTTGCACATCTAGATTTAAAGTTAATTTTTAGTCATTTGATTTTTTTTATTTCATAAAAATAAGCATGCTGTCTTGTAAACGAATACATAAATTATATATTTCCATCTGTTTTTAGTTTATAAATGGTCGTGCATTTCAAGACACACAGCGAATGGAGCCAGTATCAAGTTTTGATGAGAATGGTAGATTCCACAGTCAAATTGAGCTTCCTAAAAAAGGTAATAATAACTCTCCAATTACCCTGATATATCCATAATTATTTCAAAACTAGTAACTACTATATTATTAAGTTCAGAGCATTCTTGTTGTTCTTTAAGTATTAAAGGGACAACACTTAAGTTTTTGGACGTGACTGGATTAGAAATAATTTTTCAAGATTAATGTTCCTTTTGATGTAGGTCTAGACAAATAATTTGTCTGCATTATTTCAGATTATTCGTTCTCTTCCTTTTTCCAGAATAATTATTCTTATTGTGAAAAATGACCAAAAATTGAAAAAGCATTACAAGGTTTTTTTATTCAAATTTGACTAAGAATAGCACAAAAATACGATTTTCAAATATATTTCTTAATTATCTTTTACATTTCTTGTTGTTTAAAGTGGCATAGCTGAACTATTTTAGGAATTCAAATTCATGTAATTAGATATTTGGACCTCAGTGGTGTTCCTTTAACGATATTTTTATTGTCCTTCATCTGCCACTGCTGATTCGGATGTTTCGTGTATAGATGATAACTATTGTTGGGGAAAAAAATAGTAGCCATTGACAAAAATTTAAGAAAAAGTGCCAATTTACTGTTAGTTGTTAGTGTATGACAAATTGTTATACTGATGTTAATAACTTAAACAATTTGTTGTTACATATTCTTGTACGGTTTGCTTTCTTTCCAGGTTTTGAACCAGCGGGTGGTAGCCAGACAAGTAGGGAACCTAAACCATCCAGCAGTTCTGAGTCTGCTAGCACCAAACAGCATGCGGAGGTAAAAGTTGAACCAGGACAGCAACAACAAGTGCCAGATAGTGGTCCTCCTGTAGAACCTGATAAACCTTTGTTGAAGAAAGTATCCGTTGAGGTAATCCAAATATTTTGGTTAATTTGTTCAACTTTAGGTTGATTAATAAACTTGAGGTTAAAAATAAGCCAGAAATATGAACTTTTTGTGTCACCTCTACGAAGTAGTGGCGAAATATAGGGATCACTTCTCCGTTGTCTGTCCGTTCGCTGTCCGTCCATCACAAAACTTGTCCGGACTACTCCTCATAAACTACTGGTGCAATTTCATCCAAACTTTACAGGAATGATCAATACCAAGTCTAGTTGTGCATATTGTCAGCATTTTCCGGTTCAATGATTTTTGTCAGAGTTATGGCCCTTTAATAATTTTTATTTTTAAAGTTTGTCCGGACTACTTCTCTTATACCACTAATGCAATTTCAATGAAACTTTACAGGATTGATCTGTAGCTCAAGTCCTTGCGCATATTGCAGGGGTTTTCCGGTTGAATGATTTTTGGCTGAGTTATGGCCCTTAAAAAGGTGTTTTTAGCTCAGCTGTCACAAAATGACAGGGTGAGCTTTTGTGATCGCTTTTTTTCTGTCGTCCGTCCGTCCGTAAACTTTTGCTTCAAATGACATCTCCTCATAAACCACTAAGCCAATTTCATCCAAACTTCACAGGAATGTTCCTTTGGTGGTCACCTTTAAAAATTGTTCAAAGAATTTAATTCCATGCAGAACTCTGGTTGCCATGGCAACCGAAAGAAAAAAACTTTAAATATCTTCTTTTAAAGAACCAACCCAAAGAGCTAGAGCTAAGATATTTAGCATGAAACATCTTCTAGTGAGTGTCTACCAAGCTTGTTCAAATAATAGCCCTGGGGTCAGAATTGGCCCCGCACCAGGGGGTCATTGATTTTCCCTATATGCATATAGATAAAACTTTAAAAATCTTCTTTTAAAGAACCAAAAGAGCTAGAGCTTAGATATTTGGCATGAAACATCTTCTAATTAGTGTCTACAAAGTTTGTTCAAATTAAAGTCCTGGGGTCAAAATTTGCCCCGCCCTGGGGGTCATTGATTTCCTTATATGTGTATAGCAAAAACTTAAAAATCTTCTTTGAAAAAACCCAAATAGCTAGAGTTTAGATATTTGGCATGAAACATCTTCTAATTAGTGTCTACAAAGTTTGTTCAAATTAAAGTCCTGGGGTCAAAATTTGCCCCGCCCTGGGGGTCATTGATTTCCTTATATGTGTATAGCAAAAACTTAAAAATCTTCTTTGAAAAAACCCAAATAGCTAGAGTTAAGATATTAAGCATGAAACATCTTCTAATAAGTGTCTACAAAGTTTGTTCAAATAAAAATCCTGGGGTGAAAACTGGCCCCGCACCAGGGATGTCATTGTTTTTAACTATATGTGTATAGTAAAAACTTAGAAAACCTTCTTTTAAAAAACCCAAGAGTTAGAGCTTAGATGTTTAGCATGAAACATCTTCTTACGGGTGTCTACCTAGTTTGTTCAAATAAAAGCCCTTGGGTTAAAATTAACTCTGCCGGGGGGGGGGGGGGGGAGGTCATTGTTTTTCCTTATAAGTGTATAGCAAAAACTTCTTCTAATGGGTGTCTTAATTCCAAGTTTGTTCAAATAAAAGCCCTGGGGTTTAAACTGGCCAGCTTCGGGGGCCTATATACAGGTGAGCGACCTCAGGGCCATCATGGCCCTCTTGTTTCTGTGTGTTGCCAGATACACAAAAGCTTGTCAGGACTACTTTTCATAAACTACTGGTGCAATTTCATCCAAACTTTACAGGAATGATCAATACCAAGTCTAGTTGTGCATATTGTCAGCATTTTCCGGTTCAATGATTTTTGTCAGAGTTATGGCCCTTGAAATATTTTTATTTTTAAAGTTTGTCCGGACTACTTCTCTTATACCACTAATGCAATTTCAATGAAACTTTAAGAGATTGATCTGTAGCTCAAGTCATTGCGCATATTGCATGGGTTTTCTGGTTGAACGATTTTTGGCCAAGTTATGGCCCTTTGATAAAAAGGTGTTTTTTTCTGTGTGTTGCCAGATACGCAAAAGCTTGTCCGAACTACTCCTCATGAACTACTGGTGCAATTTTATCCAAACTTTACAGGAATGATCAGTACCAAGTCTAGTTGTGCACTGTCTGTCCATCTGTCACAAAATTTGTCCCAACATGAAATTGGCCATCATGAGGCGACACTTGATTACTGCTCGCTCTTGTGTTAAGTTTAGGTGAAATGATGAATCTTGGAATGTTGTACAACAATTTGTGAATTGGCATTTAACATATGATTAACCTCCTTTGTAATTAAAAAAAGTTGTTGATCTGTAAAGGCCCTGTCACACTAGACTGCGCTCTCACTGCGTTTGCACGGCGTTGTTAGATATAGCAAAGCGCTGTGAGATTGCAATAAAAAATGTGATATTTGTTATGACGTGGAGACTACATGGAGTCCTCATGGCGATGTTACTGAGTTTCCACGGCGTTTAGTTGGTGATTGTCTGTGTTCCAGACTGTATTCTGTGCGCTTTCATGGTGCTATTGCATGCTGAAATTGTAAAGCTCTGTAAAACGCCGTGCACACGCAGTATAAGCGCAGTAGAGAAGCCGCACAATCTCCATACAAGCGCCGTGGAATACCACCGCAATCATTCGGCACTCCTGTTGCGTTGTAGGAGTTGCTATGGCGTTCTTACTGCGATCCCACTGCGCACTTATCAGAACGCCAAGTGACAGTGTTTGTTTTGAGCATGCTCAAAATGCGCCATAGGTCGGCTTTCTATGTGATGCTACTTTGATTCTGTGGCGATGTTTGGCATTTTTCTGCGCTCGCCTTGGCATCCTGAATTTTCTTTGGACGCAGTAAGAATGCCACCCTAGTGTGACAGGGGTTTAAATACCCTTTTTGTCTGTCTTTCATTAGATCAAATCTTTAGAAAGATTTGTTTCCAAATGATTGAAAGCATATTAATACATGTCATCTAGTTTCCTGTAAAATTTTACTTCTGTGGTGTAATTTTATCTTTTGATAAATTTACATGTTTATGTTAGTGTTCATCAGTGCTCTTCTATAGAAATTAGAAAGTTCGACTGGAGTGATAGAGACAGGAGAATGTTCTAATTTCTGAAGAACAGCAACGGATGAATACTTACATACTTAGTGTCAAGCTTTATTTGGCCATGTTATTATTCACTTAATTACGCCACTACGCGGTTCCATGAAGTACTATGAAAAATAGAAGGTGACTATGAACGGAATTCGATATTGTATTGACTTTTGTTCTTCTATGAAAATTAACACACATAATTTTGAAGAAATACAGTGTTTTCATTGGATGACAAATAAAGCCGAACACTAATGCAAAAAAAAGGGTGAAATCTGTGTATATGATGTAGAAGCTTTAATGTTTTATATAATTTTAATTGTATAATCAGTTGATCAAGGACTCGGCTAAAGTGTTATATATCTGTATATCATTTAATCAAGGACTCGGCTAAAGTGTTATATATCTGTATATCAGTTAATCAAGGACTCGGCTAAAGTGTTATTTTATATGTCTGTATATCAGTTAATCAAGGACTCGGCTAAAGCGTTATTTTATATATCTGTATATCAGTTAATCAAGGACTCGGCTAAAGTGTTATTTATATATGTGTATATCAGTTAATCAAGGACTCAGCTAAAGTGTTATTTAATATGTCTGTATATCAGTTAATCAAGGACTCGACTAAAGTGTTATATATCTGTATATCAGTTGATCAAGGACTCGGCTAAAGTGTTATTATATATATCTGTATATCAGTTGATCAAGGACTCGGCTAAAGTGTTATTTTATAAGTCTGTATAATCAGTTAATCAAGGACTCGGCTAAAGTGATATTTTATATGTCTGTATATCAGTTAATCAAGGACTCGGCTAAAGTGTTATATATCTGTATAATCAGTTAATCAAGGACTTGGCTAAAGTGTTATTTTATATGTCTGTATATCAGTTAATCAAGGACTCCGCTAAAGTGTTAACTTATATATCTGTATATCAGTTAATCAAGGACTCGGCTAAAGTGTTATATATCTGTATATCAGTTAATCAAGGACTCGGCTAAAGTGTTATATATCTGTATATCAGTTAATCAAGGACTCGGCTAAAGTGTTATATATCTGTAAATCAGTTAATCAAGGACTCGGCTAAAGTGTTATATGTCTGTATAATCAGTTAATCAAGGACTCAGCTAAAGTGTTATTTTATATATCTGTATATCAGTTAATCAAGGACTCGGCTAAAGTGTTATATATCTATATATCAGTTAATCAAGGACTCAGCTAAAGTGTTGTTCTGGGAAGTGATAGATGAACTATGTACTGGTATCGGACAGGAAGTGAAGCTAGAGGTAGACACCAAACTTCAGTTCTCCGTAGATTGTCTAGAATCAATTGTTGGAACAACACTAAAGGAAGATATGAGGTAAGTTATAGAACTTTGTTGTCAAGTTAAATTAACATTTACCTTGGTAACCGTTACCTGGACTATTTGTATTGTTTTATATTTGGTTTTAACCCTTTAAGTAAGTTGGTCTATAATGGAAAGTTTGTTATACAAAAAATAACTTTATTGATAGTAGTAAGTGTTAGACCTTATAAAAAAAACAACACAAATTATATATATGAATATTGTTGGTAAGTGTAAGACACATGATCTGATATAACATATCAATACATTGTATTTAGCTGATAATAAAATGTTGCATAAAAAGATATTGTATTCACCATATAAATGTTCATACACAATCTCTATGTGTTCCAAATTTAAAGGTGGGCAAACCTTTATACAAATTCAGAAGGTTATAGGTTAAGATACTGGCAAGGTGTTGGGAATGAGAACAGACTTAACATTATATATAGTAGCTACATTTTTCATTTACATGTATTTCTAGGACAATATGTGAGGAAACATTTGACGAGGCTCAGGAAGCTAAACGTAAAGCGTTACAGTTAGAGAAGGAGTTAAGACAAAATAGAGTAGCGGAACAGATCACTGATGACATGGTTAGTGATCTCGTCCATCAGGAGGCATTAAACCTGGCTACCATTGAAATGAGGTAAAATCTATTAATGTTTGATGTAATTTTTAAGCTTGACTATTGAAAGAAAACAGAGCTGTTCTAGTATTGGTAATTTATCGTTTAGATTGGCTGAGCAGTTTAACACCTTATAAACCTTTAAGGGCATTAATATTTAAAAATTTCACATGTCTTCAGTATCATTATTGTTGGTCAATGTCTAAGTGTTGAAACTCTTGAATAGGCTTTCTCTTAAATAATCCCATTGGTTAAGTTGGGAGAACTGCATAGCCCTTGTTTTTTTCTCACATTAGTGGTAGTTTATAAATGATTTCCTCAGAAATAAGAAAAGACTTGCATTAAAGAGAAAAGATTTCTCTGTGAAAGCTTGTTACTTTTTACAGTCACTTAAATTGTACATATATTACCAACAATTGTCAGGAATTTAGTAGTAAAGATGGCCCGATATCATAGATGTTTCAATGAATTGTGATTATTGCCTTCATAATACACTATCATTTTTACAATACTGAAGGTTTGGAAACATGGTGCAGCATTCTTATATTGTCTGGTTTAACAGCACTGAAGTTTCAGAAACTTTCAGTTGGTTGTTGTTTATTACTTTATGACATATATAAAGCCAGTGGATTGTTATATAAATACTAATTTAGAGCTAGATCTAGTCACTACAATGGTGTAACAAACCTAGTCTGTCCAACCCTTTGTCATCATGCTGCCTAGCTGTCAAACTGTCTGTCTGTGGAATGACAAATCAGTGGAACGTGGGTGCACCCATTTCCCATGGACATATTTTTAGTTGCATGAGTGCAATTTTTTCAGGAATTTGCCTAAAAATCAGTGTTTTTTTTGTCTACTCTTAAAAGCTCTCTTTTTCTGTATTAAACCAAATGAAATAATAATTAATTCAAAGTTTTTCAGGTTTTTTGATATTTTAAACTTGCACCCATGTGGTTATTTCTATTAGCACAGCTATATATTTGTTTCAGAGAGGTGAAAGCTGAGTTAAAGAGACAGTGTATAGAGAGAGTTACTGTAGATGTCAATAAAGATATTGTTGAAGAAGTAATGAAGGAAATGGTTATTGATGTATCAGAGGAAGTGTATGATATAGATGTTATACAAAGGCTCAAACAACTTGATGACTTTGAGAAGTTAGTCAAACTGAGCAGGGCTGGCAGATTTTGGCATAAATGGAAGAAAGAATATAAGGCAGTGACTAAGTTAAAGCGTGCGATGGAGGAATTCCCGTGTGCACCAAACATGCAGAGTAATCAGGAACAGCTGAAACAACTGCTCTGTGTTGAAGATGAGAGAATTATTGATAAGAAATTCTATGTGAATAAGAGAGCTAAGTTAACAATAGAGACACCGTTAGAGATAGAGAAACGCAGGAAGGAAACAGAAACACGTGCTCTGGTGCATCAGTTATACAGAAATCTATTACATCAGACTGCATGGTCGCCACTTGATCTCAGCAGAGTTATTGGCCAAGAATTGAGAAGAAAGTACAAACCTGGTCAACAGTCAAGTTAGTTTTATCATGATAAATATTTTCTTTTATAATATTGCAAACAAAGTTCTCGAATTTTGATTGGCTGTAAACACTTTGTGAACCATGCTCTATATACCACAAAAACTGAAGCACGCAGCAATAACAATGTTCTCTATATCATAGACAGTTTACTACATGTGTGTATGAACTTTATTATTGCATATTGTTCATTAAGGTATATTTCTCAATTCAAATATTACCTAAAAAAAAATAATCAAAGGGTACCCAACAATGATAAATTCATACTTGAATTACTTTTTAGGTACAAAATTGCATAATATTATTACTTGAAGATATTAATCATATATATATATATATATATATATATATGTACTATTTTAACTCTATTTACAAAGATTTTATTTTACAGACACGTTGAAAACAAGCAAATTATTTTGGAAGTTGTTGTTGTGTTTACCCGATGTTGATGACAGTAGAGCCAGCAGCCAATCAGAGGCTGCTACATATAATCTGTGTAAATGGCTGAAAGTGAGGCTCTCTAAAGGTCCTGTACCAACTTCTCAACGTGATGTTAAGGTAAGTATTGTCTAGGGCTTCACTCTGGTTAGATATCGAGGAAAACATGTTAGGTGGATTGTCTGCCAAGATATGACTTAATAAATATCTAGGGCTGCATATTACCATATTCTTGCCCTTCATCCACTGTGTAGAACCCTGAACTTTGCAATAAGTAAACAACTGTCTACACAAGGTTAATTTAGTGAGACTGATTGTTTGTGTAGGGTTAGGCATGTCATGTTATCATTGTTTTCTCATGTCAAAATTCTGGTTGCTATAGCAATGGAAAAAGTCAATATGGAACCTTTATTATAATTTTCAACTTTGAATTTGTTTTGTAGTTTAGGCAAATGTATCTAAAACAAGCAATGTTTGTTTATATTCAGGGTGAGCTTTTGAGTTTAAACAAATGTCATATGTATTTTCAGGGGGAGGTTTTGAGTTTAAACAAATGTCATATGTATTTTCAGGGGGAGGTTTTGAGTTTAAACAAATGTCATATGTATTTTCAGGGGGAGGTTTTGAGTTTAAACAAATGTCATATGTATTTTCAGGGGAGGTTTTGAGTTTTAAACAAATGTCATATGTATTTTCAGGGGGAGGTTTTGAGTTTAAACAAATGTCATATGTATTTTCAGGGGGAGGTTTTGAGTTTAAACAAATGTCATATGTATTTTCAGGGGGAGGTTTTGAGTTTAAACAAATGTCATATGTATTTTCAGGGGGAGGTTTTGAGTTTAAACAAATGTCATATGTATTTTCAGGGGGAGGTTTTGAGTTTATACAAGTGTCACATGTCACAAATCTCCAGCTATAAACCAATGAGTGTGAATGTATGTGTGAGGACAGTAGAAGGTCAGTTAGAGGATGATGATATAGCTATCATAGAGGAGAATACACTCTTCCTGGGAACCAGTGCACTATTGTTTCTACTACCTGCTGGTGCCCCTTTCAACAAGTCAGATTCTGTAAGTAAAGTGATGCTGTTAGGTTATAAAGATACTTTTCCAGGGAAGCAATACTCCATCATGTTTTGTGATACTTTTGTGTGATTATCAAATTAGATTTTACAGCCAGTAGAAGATTTGACATATTTTATAAGATTTGTTAGTTTGATAGGTTATTCCTGACTGTAACATATATATATATTAGCTAACTGACGTTTTGAGTAATAGTAGTTTAGAAAGCTCCCTTCTGTTAAAAATTTCTAAAATAGAAATAGACTTCCTTAAGAATGTCAAAAACAACTATATTGAAAATGCTGTAGGCTCAATTTGATTGAGCCTGTTTGTAAATAGTACTGTAATGTTCAAGTTATTGTCCACTCCCCTTAGCACGAGCTTTAGCAGAATTCAGCATTTCATAATTCATGAATATAACCATACTCATCCTGACAATGATGTAACACGTGTTTCTTGTTTTGTTAGAAACCTTCTATCTCACAAGTTATTCCCCTTTGTTAATTAAGTGTATTTTTGGTTAAGATATGGTGTGAAAGATAAATCTTCACAAGAAGTGAAGGTATATTAATAGATATATACATCTGTCTGGTATAACTTTAGAATTGATTTAAACATTTGCTAAATGAAATAATAAACCTAATATCATATATTTATGTTCTAGGTAAGGTATGATACGTATTGGACAGCGCAAAACTTCAGATTGAAGGCAATCCTTGATGTGAAACCTAGATATCAGGCTTTCCCATTGGTTGTTGTGCTTCCAGTGTCAGCCAATCAGATCGTGTCTCTTATACAGATAGTTGAATATTTATCATTAGAGGTGTTTCTGGATGAGGAGTTATTGAGTGATGTAGAACTGGTAACATATGAGCTCAACGAGAATAGACCAGATGCCATAGATCTCACTGATCCTAAAATAAGTGAAGAGGTAAAAAATACAATTCTAACATGCTTCACATTGTTCCCTCATTCAGATAGATAGGACTGTCAAGTGCATTATAACATGATATATGCATTAGAAAAAAAGAATATATATCAAAATCTGAATTAATTTTTAATGGACTTTAATATAACGTAACGTCACAATGTATATTTCCCGCCATCTTTGATGTTGATGTCGTGTGACGTCACTTCCTGTTTATTCACTGACGAAGAACATACTAGTTCTTAATCGATATGAATAATAAATAATTGAATGTACGCGTGTGGTTGGTCTTATTGGAATCATTATGATATATGCATGGCATAAAAAGGGAATGCTTACACATTGTATGACGTCAATAAACCAAATGATGTCAGGAAAATTACTTCTAAGCTTAATGTAGTTCAACATATTTTTATTATTTCTCTGTTATAACATAAGCATGTTGGAATGGAAATAGAAATTCATTTTTCTTGTGTTGTAGTATAATTATGCACAGTTTATATTTTAAATGCTTTGTAATTAATCATTCAAGCCTATTGGCCTTAATGATGATATTCCTGTGCATTTGAACTCAAACTATTTTACACCAATGCAATCAAAATTGATATCTATTTCCTAACTGGAGTCCAAACTAGCCAAACAGTTCTGGAACAAGTTCCAAAATGAAACAATTTATTTATATCAGATCAGTTTCAAATTTGACTTTCTTATCACACAAGATTTAGCTATAGAGAATCAGTCTTTTCAGTTCTATTTTGATTCATTTAAGGCTCTTTCTTAATTTTCTGATTTATTTCAAAAGAGTAAATATGGCAAGTACATGTTTTATGTACTTTCTCGCATATGATAACTCCTTATTTTTAATTGGAATCTAAAACTGTATAAATATTTGTATTGTATTGAATATAGTTATGTGAAGGTATTCAGTGGTTGGCAAGGAAAACTAGGCCGGCTCCCAGTCTTACCGTACAATATTTCAAGGATGTTGTTGACTTGTCCCTACATAAACATTACTATACACCAGTACAACATAACTTGAAGAAGAGGAAAGATTTAAACAGACTTGATAAGGTGATTTCATTTATTATGTAGATTATACAAGGTGGTTCAATGGAATCTCTAATTCTGTCAGTTTTCATTTTAGACAATTAATTTTTTTTTTTATTTTATGAAATATTGATATAATGGTCATTATAGCGACTATAACAGCATCATGTGTTTACATTGTAGGTTTAAGGTAACAAAACATAAGATTAACTTAAAGGAGCTCCACAGAGGTTAAAGTGCCTTAAAACATAAAATTTGAAATTCTTTCATAGATCAAGTAATGCACTAAAAAAGGTAAAATCTGCAAAAGATAATACAGGAATATGTTCAGAATTAAAATAAAAATTGATTTTGCATGAATTTAAGCGCTGCCCAACTTGAGTGAAAAGCACTGCAAAGCTTTCTAATTTATTTTTTGATAATTTTGTACTAAAAATAATGATTCTGGGAAAACTTGGGGAATCATCATAAATTTTATAATCAAGTTATTAGTTCAGACCTACATAAAATGGTATACAAGTCTGGAAAAAATATTTCCAGTCCCTTCATGTAAAAAAAAAAAGAAACAGTCCCTGTAAATGCTGCCATTGAGATTCATTTAAAATTAAACATTGATATTAGTTATATATAGTTATTTGTTGTCCACTATATAAAGATTTAAGAATCAAATACAAATTGCCATATTCTTTTTCCAAATCTAAAAAGATTCTATCAAGTAAATGACAAATATGAAAAGAAAAACTTGTATCATTTCAACAAATTTTTGAGGGATGCATTTGATAGAAGAAAGGAACAGTTATAAAAAACACTTAATATTTTGCTTTGATTTAGTATAAAATTTTGGATATACATGTAAGTGTAACTATAAGGTATTCTTTGTTATGTATGATATTTATTAGTCCCCTACCGGTTTACCGGAGGGGACTTTAGGTTTACCCTCCGTCCGTCTGTCTGTCCGTCCGTCTGTCCGCCCGTCAGTCCGTCCGTCCACAAAACTGGATCCCGCGATAACGCAAAAAGTATTGAAAATATTTTAATGAAACTTGATATATGGATAGATGGCAGTATGGAGATTATGCACGTCTTTTTCTTTTCTTCCTATGTTGAAAATTCTGGTTGCTATGGCAACAAATAGACTGAAAATATGGCAAATTTTACACATAACCTGGATCCCGCGATAACGCAAAAAGTACTGAAAATATTTTTATGAAACTTGATATATGGATAGATGGCAGTATGGAGATTATGCACGTCATTTTCTTTTCTTCCTATGTTGAAAATTCTGGTTGCTATGGCAACAAATAGACTGAAAATATGGCAAATTTTACACATAACCTGGATCCAGTGATAACACATAAAGTACTGAAAATATGTTTATGAAACTTGACATATGGGTAGATGGCAGTATGGAAATTATGCACATTCTTTTCTTATCTTCCTATGTTGAAAATTCTGGTTGCTATGGCAACAAATAGACTGAATTTCAAGATTTCTGATTCTAGTTTTTAAGTTTTTTCACTATAAGTTCTTTATTTCTTAAGGTATTTTTTTCAAACTTTAAACATAAGTTGCTTGTCATCAACCACATCATATGTGACAAGGTTTACAACTCTAGCACAAAATTTATCAGAATTACCTCCCTTGAACTTAAAATTTTCATGAAAAAAACATTGTTTTTTTAATAACTTCTTTTTCTGAATGTATCTATACTTTAAACTTCATATAAATGTTTCTTATTGTCACTCAACATATGTGAGTGTTCAATACTCTAGCAAGACTATTTCCAGAATTATGCCCCTTTTGAACTTAGACTTTTTTTTTAGAAATTGGTAATTTTTACTCCAACTTCTTCAATCATGATAGGATTTTAAAAATGTTATATTTTGATAACAGGGATGTTTAAAAAATAACTTTAGAGTGTCCTTCAGTCTGTCTGTCTGTACATAAAAACTATTTCCTGTGATCACTTTTAAAGAACTTTTTGAACAAATTTACTTAAAATAGGAACCTAAGTGAATGGCCAATGGCCCTTCAGAATGTTGCTTGGGCTCTTACCGGTAGGGGACTTATGGATTGCTTGCAATACTATGATAATTGCTTGTTCAATGCAGCGTTTTCTTTTGTGATATTATTGCCATAATGTATACTTATGTTTGTATTACAAAAGACAGATATCTGCTCATGCCGAATTGCAAATAAAATTTTGACTTTTGATATTATTACAGGATGCAAACAGTTTACTGTTGTTATATAACACAGTTATCTCCCATCTCGTCGAAGTTCTAACATCTGACACATTATACAAGGTGTCCTGGCCAGTGGCTGAGTTTACCAGTAATCTTACGACAGGTATATAATATTATTAGTTCAGTGATTTTTCTCTCTTAATTAAGCAGAGGCCTGAGCCTCTTGATTTTGGGAAACATTATCGCTAAAATTGCTGATTTGGGAAGAGAAAAAACAAATTTGATTCAGATTTTTTGGAAAACTGCATGATTTTGAAGAAAATTTCAATTGGGAAGAGAGCTTTTATCGGAGATTTTTTACCGGTTAAATGGCCCTATATAAATGGTTGTTTGGAAATATAACCCGAGCCTCTATTATGAAATAAATTAATGATAAGAACACTGTGAATGGAAACTTTCTACTAAATTATGTTGTTTACCACTAAATGTGGCAAATGATTTGTGAACAAAAATTTGTATATGTGTACTATGATTGTAAGAGTCTTCTATTGATGTTTAGACAAGAGGGGACTGTTCTTCCATCTGTCTAGCTGTCTGTTTAAATCTTGTGATAATTAGAAAATTGCATACATTATGTTAATGAAAAATTAGCAAGAGATTTTACATTTTGTTTAATCCTTCCCTCAAATTTCTTGTTACTATGGTTATAGCAATACTCAAAGGACATTGGTCATCTATGGGTTGTGGGTTCAATCATTGGGTATGGAGAAATTTGTCTATGATAATTGATCTCAAAGATTTTGTCAAATAATCATTTGTCTCTCACTACTGATTCAGGAATCATGAGGGGTTAGTAGAATGTCACTCCACCAGAAATTGGTTATTACTGGCTAGATATTTATCTCACAATTTATTCACTAATAATTATGCTGTTTTAATATATTCAACAAAATACATAATGTGCTACCTATAAATCAGATTATTTACTCTTTTCATGTGAGGAAGCTATCCAGCTAGCTTATGGAACGTCGATGGTTCTACTCAGGTGCCCGTTCGTGCCTGAAATAATGCACGGAAGGGCACCTGAGGTCTTCCTCCACTAGTAAAGCTGGAACGTAGCCATATGACCTATACTGTGTCAGTGCGACTTAAAACCCAAAACAAACTTTACTGTTTTCTATTCACAGATTTGCCTCCAAATCACTGGAACAAGGGAGATCATCTGGAATATTTGTTCAACATAGTTGACTCCCTTAGATTACCGAAATTTGAATATGAAAACCCAGATAATTATGAATGGTTTGAAATAAAGAGAGATCTGTGGAAATTTGTGTCATCATTTGCTGGTAGAGATTATAGTGGAGCCAGAATTAAATTGTTCTCCAGGTAATTGTTTTATTACATAATTTACAGCAAATTACTGAAAAATTGCTGTGAACCTTTTTCATGAATTTGAAACAAAATTACAAGAAAAGTGCTTATTATTTATGAATAGAAATTTCATCATAAAGTACTTATACTTTATAATTATCCGCACAAAAATATTTTTTGCTCTTTATGTTATAATGTTATTAAACTCTACAAATCGTATAGGATTTTTTTCCAGCTTAGATATTTTGATATGCTAATATGATAATAAAGTCATGAATGAGAGCTTGGAACAAGGCATATATCAGTGATATTTTGATAGTTTAGACATATAACCTTATACACAATCTTCAACCATTCCTGGAACCAACCAGTACTGAGCATTGAATGCAAAGTTTCATGCTCAAAGAGCCAAGAACTTGCAGAGATGGGGTTTGAACCCATAAGGCCAGCAATCCTTAGATTGCTAGTTTGACGTGTTAACCACTCAGCCAGGCCGCTACTTTTGAAAGCTTTCTTAAACAAAATGAAATACATTTCCTATTTAAATACAGGAATATAATTCTCACAGATTCAGAATTGCTTAGGGTTAGACATACTTTTAGTTATTTTATAGTTTATCTGTTTGGATTATACAGAATAATGTAACTAAAGAATGTTTAAAGGAATATCTAATGACTTATATTCATGCATAGAACACAGCTTTGTGTAACTATGGACTTATATTCATGCATAGAACACAGCTTTGTGTAACTATGACAACACACAAAGATTTTATGAAATACTAGAGAAAAAACGTTTTACTTTACAGATTGAAGAATTTGATACATAAATTAGAAGTTGACTTTGCGGAGGCGTGTTATTTCCAGTTTGGAGAGTCTGATTGTCAGCCGACATTCTACAATGTTCCATGGAGTACAGTTATCTCCCTTTGTATAGATTATAAACTAGACAGTGTAGATCTGATCGATCCGGATTCACAAAATCCACAGGTACCTGGCATGCGTGCTATGATATTTGAACTAGTAATGTAAATGGCCTCGTTTTAAAGATAATTATTAACTCCAAATGAAGAAAAGTTCAATTATAATTTCCCCAAATTTGGTATAACATATCATGCATGTTTTATCTAACTTCATTATAACAATACAAATTATTTTGCATAGAATAATATAAACACGATATAATCATAAGATCCTTTTATTAAATGACTACCAATTTCTCCGTGTTGCGATTGATGGTCAATAGTAAGTAATATGTACTTGGGGGCTATTTATCAAAACAAACTAAGTCATAAACAATGGCACCAAAGTTAACCATCTATTATTAGAAACCAATCGTTAACTGATTTTACTGTATGTGGTACTATCTGACCAACTAAAAACAATGTTACTTATTCAAACATTTTTAGCTCGACTATTCGATAAGAATAAGTAGAGCTATTGTAGTCACCCGAGCGTCGGCGTAACCACTTATGTTAAAGTTTTTGTAATAGTTCAAATATTTTCAAAGTCCATTGACATAAGGCTTTGAAACTTTGCACACTTGTTCACCATCATGACCCCAACCTGTAGACAGGAGGAGGTAACTCTGTCAAGCATTTTGACAGAATTATGCCCCTTTTTCGACTTAGAATTTACGTTAAAGTTTTTGTAATAGTTCAAATATTTTCAAAGTCCATTGACATATGGCTTTGAAACTTTGCATACTTGTTCACCATCATTACCCCAACCTGCAAACAGGATGAGGTAACTGTATTAAGCATTTTTTTTTACTATCAAGCACTAAGAATAGTCGAGCGTTGCTGTCCTACCGACAGCTCTTGTATACTGTACAAAATTCATAAAACTAAGAAGATAAAAAAATAGCCCACACTCTTTCTTCTTTTATAATACGTTAATAACTACTATATTTTTACACACCAATAGCTTACATGATTCTTTCTTAAAATAAAGAAGCTAAGTTCTACACTAAACCAAATTTCAATAACCATTATTGTTGTTGTTTTTATTTACACAGGAGAAAAATGAATTGAAAGTTGCGTACATCAAAAAAGAAATGGAAGGATTTATTCCACCAGCATCATGGACACATATAGAAGCTGACAGCAGTGTACTAGGTATGTTTATTATTACTTTGAAGTGCACTAATGGTGCACATGTAGTGCGCACCAAGTGCACTTTATGTAACCTTCTGTGTGGACTTGACTGTCAATAAATTTATATATAGAAATACTAAATTTTTTTAAGTAATTAATGTTGTTATTGTTGTGGGTTTTTTTGCCTACAAAGACATTCTTTTAATGTGATATTTATTCTCATATTCTTACTGTGTAATTATGAATATCTTATTGTTATTTGAGAGATTGTTCAAAGGAAAATGTTGTTTGTATGATATACTTTATGATAAACTAACTAATTAAATTCATAATTAGGAAAGTTACTTTTTTACTTATTTCACTTTTCATCAATTCAGAATCACCCAGTCTTGAAGATACTATTCAGAATGCAGTATTTAAGGTTCAAGAAGAAAGGAAACAATTGGAGACTAAGGCGGAGGTATCTATAACAGAAGATCTCGCCAATGTTTCCGTAGTTACCATGGGCACCAAGAAAACATCAGGCACATTGACCAAGTCTCTGAAGTCTGAGAGAAGACACTCGGATCATTTCCAGAAATATTTGGAAAATGCACTGAAAGACATAGATCCCGAGTTAGATTCTTCCCTTACAGGAAGTACTTCCGTAACTGGAAGCGCGTCCTTTTCTGTTTTTGAAAGTCGGAATGAATCTTTCGGTTCAGGAAACTTCTTTTCATCGTCAAATGAGAGACGATTTAGTTTTGATCCTTCAGCCAATCAAAAAAGACTTAGTTTTGATGCAACTTCTTATTTCAACCAATCACAAAATGACATTTCATCTATATTTGCTTCCCAATCAGAAGGGAGACTACCCTTACCTCCTAACCGTAGAAAGTCCGATATTGGTTTACAAGAGTTGTCTGTCCTACCAGGAAAGAAGAGACGACAAAGATTATCAGAGATCTACGACAACGACCGAGTTATGATGTATATAAAAGAACCCACTTTGAGTGAAGACGCTAAAAACTTGAAGGAAAATTTGAGGTCCAGCAGAAGGGAAAGTGATTTGTTCGAGAAGAAACTAAGACTCTTGATGCAGAGTAATCCAGAAACTTTCTGAACTTTATTTGCAAAAAATAACAATAGCAGTGTTAATAGAGAAGTACAAAAAATGATGGTTGAATAATAATTGACATATCTAAAAGTTGTGTACATTGCATTATGTTAAAGTACCAATTGGAAAATAATAGTTACTGTTTATTCACCAATTATTAAGAAAAATCATGGTATTTAAAGGGGGAAAAATCAAAATTCCTTATTTCTAATGTAATATTCTAAAAGAGTTGTACACATTGTATTGTAACATATATCTATGTTTTGAAAATATATGAAATGTTTAATAATGTTATATTTAGGCACAGCATATATGCAATAACAATAAAAATGAACATCGTAACTTTAGTAAAAAAAATTCTTGTAATAAAGTTATCCACAATGGCATGATTATTATGTATTGCTTATTTTTTATGCCCCCCCCATATAGTAATTGAACCGTCTGTCCGTACGAGGTTAACCTAAAGCAAGTTGGATTTTTCACACACTTCACACACTTATCAACACAATGTACATCATCTTGGCAAGTTACATAACTATTGCTTCTATTTTTACCAAGTTATTGCCCTTTTCAGCACTTGGAAAATGAATAATTGGTTAACCAAAAACGGCAAGTTGGATTTATCTTAAGTTCTATCTATACTAATAGCTTCATAATTACCACACTTACTTATCAATACAAAGTATATGATATTGCCAAGTTATATAACTGTGCCATCCATTTTCCCAGTTTTTTCCCCTTTTATCACTTTGAAAATAGGGCAAGTTAAGGTTAACCTATTCTGGCAAGTTGAATTTATCTTAATTTCTCCTAATTACTTCATTTATTTAATGATATCTTTCAGACTTGGTAGGTGGATACCTTGATTTAATGATATCTTTCATATTTGGTATGTGGATACCTTGCATGGTCCTCTAAATTTTTATGAAGATAGGGGTCCCTAGGATCAAGGTCACTTGTGTAGAAAAAAAAATTAAACAGTTTTGCTTATACAGCCTTTATTAGTTCAGGATGAGCTATTAGTATCAAAGGAGGATGCTCCGTCGTCCTGCGTCAACAAGTGTCTTCTCTGAAACTGTTGGGCAGATTTACTTCAAATTTGGTCCCTAGCATCCTTGTGACAGTCACACTTGAATTTGCTCATGTCATTTCAATTGGCCCCTTTGTTACCAGATTACTAAATCAATGCGAGAAAAAACGAAGAGTGGCCGGCTATCGGGCTTTTTTTTTTCTTCAGAAATTGAGATAAGAATGTGATCGCTTTATTTCTCGCTTCATTTCCACAAATGAGGCCTGCAAACATTTAACGTTTCAGACACCTAGAGCACTATAAAGAAGACTTTCAGAAAGAATGACGCTTGTTATATCATGTATTTATCACATAAACCGCGGCGCAGGAGTGTAATAAAGTCATTTATCACAAACCCGTGCCGATTTTGCGACTCCGTAAAAACGGTATTGCATGGTCGTGCATATATTTTGATGTGACGTCATTTGGGTAATATAAACATAACGTAGACGTGCTAAATGTAAGCGTTATACTATGGGCGTGTCAATGAAAAATGTTTCTTTATCACTTCAAATGGTCTTTATTTTATGTATGTGATAAATAGAATATAAAATTTGTGTAAGTTCATTACTAAATTTATTGAACTCGTTGAATAAAATTATATTATGCAAGCCTCTGGCGAGCATAATATTATTTTATTCAACGAGTTCAATAAATTCAGTATTAAACTTACACTCATTCAATATCCTCTATGTAATAAAAACGATATTACACTAGTATAATAACACTTTGACCTGACGTCATTTGCGCTATATATAAACATAGCGTTAAAGCGCGCTAATGTTAGCGTTACACTATAGACGCGTCAATGAAAAATGACTCATTTTAGCTGTTAACTGTCTCTTTTTAAATATGTGATAAATAGAATATTATATTCGTATAGATTTAATACTAAATTTATTGAACTCGTTGAATAAAACAATATTATGCTCTCCAGAGGCTTGCATAATATGTTTTTTTATTCCACTCGTCCAATAAATTCAGTATTAAACCTACACTCATTCAAGATATCCTCTATTTATTTTACGACGTCATGAGCGTCACTTATTGTATTACCTGCGCCAGGTCGCGTAACCCTTGAAATTTTTGCAGAATCGTTAATTGTAAACATGTTGTATTGACTTTTTCACTGAATATAGAGAACATGTTCCGATATTTGTCTCTGTAAAAGTGTGTACGAAATGAAAAAATGTGAACAGTTAAACTTTGTAAAATTGTGTATGGAAATAAAAAAAATGTGAACAGTAAAACTTTTTAACAACCCTCGTATATATGTAGGTCTTTACATACCTATAGGTGGTAATTGTTCAAAAATATGTTTTTGTCCAGATTTGTTTTAATTGAATTTACAGAAAATAGTCCTTACGTTGGTTTTATGTCCGGAGACTTAGAATACGCTTAGAACGTTCTATTAAACGTAGCTCTGGACTTTAATTTATATGAATATATTTGAAAGTTGAATGTATTTTAGAAAATCTCTGCCTTATGTATTCACCTTCAAATGTTCTTTGACTAAAAAGCTTGTATGAGAAATGTTTGCAAATGCACTTTTGATTCTTTTAGTTTACTTTTCATTAACTTTGAATATAGTATACTTTTTAAAAGATGTGTAAAAAATGAAATTGAAACACTAAAAAAATATTTATTCTATATTCAATTTGGTAAAATAAGCTTTAAAGATTGTGAATGAAATGAGACTGATTTATCTGAAGCAGTATTAAGCAGACATATTCTTTTCTGCCTAATGATATGTTGTGGCAAAATTTTCCCTGTGTACAGAATAATTGTTCTGGTTACAAATTTCTAGTAGGAAACGCAATTTTTAGTTTTGTTTTGAAATATTCTGTTATTCAAGGCCCTGGGCCCTGGGTCGCTCACCTGAGGCATGGGTGAATGGCTGTATTTTAGAGTTTGTGAAGGCTTTCAATTAAACTGGGTAAAAGGTGATCTCAGTTTTACAAAGGTTTCCCAAAGCTCTGATCGGGTGACTTAGTTTCTGAACCTATTTAACTTAGTTTGAAATCTGCACTAGTTTTTGTTGACATAATATGTTGACAAATGGTTAAATGCGTCAATAACATCATAATAATCTATGTCACAATATTTTGTGACCAATGTCACTGTGTACAAGTGTAAGACAATGACAAAGACTACAAGTAAATCAACATTTTTTTTTATTATTTATACGAAGACTTGAAATTACAGTGTTAGGTTGAATACAGTCTGAGTGACAAAGATATCTGAAAGAGAAATCTGTAAAATGGTGAAATTTTTAAGAAGAGCTGGTAAGTAAAGCAATGGCTGTTTTTTGGGTTAGCACCATATTTTATTGTGTAGAGATTCTTTCTGTACAACAGTAGATAATTTTGTGATCTGACCAGTAAGTTTCTACTGTACCCACAGTGGCATCAATATTTGTTATTATCAAGTCTAATGCTGATAGATTATCAGTTGTAGGTTCATTAAGATGTAATTTACAGTTAAGCTTATCATACAAATACTGCAAAACACCCCTATGACAATTTAAAACATCAATATTAAAATCACCCAGAATAACTAAAGGCTTATGAGGTACCAAATGTGGAAAGAGTTTCTCTGTCAGCATAGTGCGAAAAGCAGAATCTGACATTTTTGGTGATTTATACAATACTACAACTTGCATTTCACTTAATTCTCTTGCAACATTCAGAAGAACAAATTCAAAATTTTGGGAGCTAAAGCGGTCTGCAGATTTTACTAATACATCAGCTTTGACATAAATAAGTAACCCATGTGGAGGTCTTTCAGATGTTGATGCAGTACACTGGTCATTGCGTATTAAATGGTATCCCTGTATCTGATAAGAAGTATCATTATCATTTTCATGTAATCTAGTTTCTGCCAATCCAATAATATCACAAGACAACAATCCTTGATCATGTTTCACATCAATGAAATGCTTGTTTAATGACCTACAATTGTTGAATGCGATTTTAAAATCCATTTTTGAAAATAAATGTATAGATTCCAAGGGAACATAACACAATTCTAGAGAAGCATCTTTAAGCAATCTCTCCATTTCTGTTTTAACTTTTTCATCAACTTGTAAAGCCTGCTCATTAAAATTGAGAATTTGAAGCTTTTCTAAAGACCGTACTCTACTTAATGCAACATAATGAAGGTGAGGAACTTTTCGTGTTTTTCTTTGGGATAAGTCAATCACGACACTATCAAGTGTTGTTCCTTGTGCTCTATGAACTGATCTCCCAGCAGAAGGTTGTAATGGAAACTGGATCCTTTCAAAAGTTTTTTTGTTATATGTAAAGGTCCTTGTGATATCAAATGTTGGTGTCCAATTTTCATTTATTTGTTCATGATAAAAGCCTCGACTTTTATATTTTAATCTAGTTCCACAACCAGCTTTCAAATCCACAAATTGAACCCATATGATACTAGGACGTTGTGTTTCCTTCAGTTTATACTCTATGAACTTTACAACACATGACGCACCATTTGCAAGGCCATCTTCAGTATTTGTATTGACAGTTAAATCATACAACATCCCTATAACAATATCCAATGAACAATGAAGATTAGCAGTTCTGTTTGGATCAGTGGGCAATCTTTTGATAGCCTCTTCTTGTTTATCCTTTGATAATTTTGGTGAAACAACAGAATCATGACAAAGAATGGACACTTTTTGATTGTTTGAACTGTTTAGCAGTGTATCATTGAAAATATGCATGTAATAGTTTTCAGCAAATAGATGTGGGGAGTTTAATTGATAATTCTTAGCACTGGATTCAACTTCACAACCTTTAATAACCATTTTATCTTCTGTTGTCAGTGAGTTAATTCTCAGCCTGTTTAATAAGTCTGCAAATGGTAAATCATCCTTTTGTCTCATTACTTCTGATAACTCGTATATAAGAAACAGTTCTTTCCATAAGTTCATGGACAAAGATGCAGCATCATGACTTAAATCATTAAATATCCAATCACCATTTACAGGTTTTAACTGGAATAAATCTCCCACTGCGATAATGCTTACACCTCCAAATGGTTTGCGAGTGCCTTTTAATTCTTGCAGTCTCTGATTTATGAAGCTCATCATAGTATTACTAACCATTGAAATTTCATCAATTATGACAACAGATAAATCTCGATATTTGGATCTGAATGTGTTCAAGCTGTCACATGTTAATGTTTGATCAGACTGTTTGTACTTCTGCTTAAATGCGGACGAAATAGTAGAGCCATTTATATTGAAAGCCGCTTTTCCAGTATATGCACACAAGAGCACCCTTACATCATCAGAGTTTCCTCCTTCTTTCAAATTAAGCATTCTATATAGTGTTTGATACAATGCTCTTATAACAACACTTTTACCAACACCAGCACCACCAGAAAGAAATGTATATAAAGGTGCATCTTTAGTTTTTATCCAGTGAACAACATGATTGTAAAACTCTTTCTGTTTTGAGTTCAACGAACGCAGAAGAGCTCTGTACTCTTCATCTGATAAAATATTTTCATTAGAACTTATTTGTGCAGATGAAATGGAACAACCAATTTCTATGCCAATGTCATATTCTCTTTGTTCACTTACTCTATCTGGATTGAAATAGATAAATGTTTCTGACTCTACTGGTTCTTCTTCAGCAGTTTCTGCTTCTTCTTGCTGAGTTCCAGGAGCAATTTCATCATATGCATTGTATTCTTCTTCAGCCATATTTCTTGCTAATTCTAACTCATCAACATGATGTTCATAACATGCACATTTTTCATTTACAGCATTTTGGACTGATTCATACTTTTCTTTGTGTGTTGCAAAGTGTCCAAGTAAATCTCTCTCTTCATTTCTCCAGGGATAAAAGAGAAGTAGTTTTTCTCTATAATAGTTTTCTTCATCTGTTTTACGATTAAATCTTACATACCTTATGATTTTTGAATTACGGCGTCTTCTGATTTTTATACCACTTTTCAGTACGCAAATGTTTTGGCAATCATCAAAATATTCATCTCCTGATATTTCATCATGTTTCTCATCATCATTTTGTTCTGAATTACTTCTATCTTCCTTATCATCTGGGTAAATCACTTCTAACTGTGACACATAATCAGCTAAGCAATAGTTATCTAAAGCCTTTGGACGTTTTGAATATCTTTTTATGATGTTATCTGACATGATATCAGTTGAGTCTGCAGGCAACTCATCAAGAGCAGACTTTGACTTTAACAATTGTACTCTTTGGTTTGGTACAGAAGTATTTATAAATACAACGTCTCTTGTACTTTTGGTCAAGGGCATTTGCAAAACTAGATAGACTGCTTCCTGTGCACTCACTTCAACACTGTTTGAAAACATATTTCCAATGTGTCTTACTTGCCTTTTTATATCTAGGTTGACATTTCTTGCTTCCTTTGCAGCAGCATACATAAGATTACTCATACCACGTTGGGATTTACTTATATATGAAACAATATACATGGCACAAGCATATGGATCCAAGACAAATTGTATGTCAGTATTTGCTTTCCATGCTTTCAATACTACATCATTGTATAAATTTACACCTATCTCATTTGGATTTCTTTTCAAAAACACCTTGGGAGAGTTTAATGAGCTTCTAATGCATTTGATATAATCATCCTCATTCATCTGTGCAATATCTGACAAAAATTTCTCAAAAGACATATTGTATCCATCTTTCTGATCATTCATTTTTTTCTGGATTTTTTCATACTGTTTGAGATATTTATCCATGTCATTTTCAAGAGGAAATAACACCATTGTTTTTGGCAGAGGTGGTAATGGATAACCAAATCGGCATATTCGATCTTGTTTTTTTCTACACGTTCTTGAATGTTTGTGGATTTGGATGTCTACCAATGCCCCCACAAATTCATTGTTAATTGAACATTTTAAGTACTGGTCCACATATGCTGCTATCTCTTCATTTGAGGTTACATTTAATTTTGGAGCACTTTTTACCCACACAATCATATGAATATGCGGAGATCCACGTTGTTGGAATTCAACTCTATAAAAATAATCTGTCACTTTACCTAATGGATTATGATCACTTTTAAGAACAGTATTTATAAACTCTTGAACTCTATGGTCAAAAAACCTTGAACAAGTAACTGGATCTGACTGAATCATTTTTATCTTTTGCTCCCAAGTTAGGTTTTCTATTTGTTCATCGCTGTACTTATCTTTTTGATTTAGATTTGCAAGGATTTTAAGAAGATCTGTCCATCTGGTATCAGCAGAAGACAAGGACATAAACCAAGTTGGTATACCTAACTGTCTTAGCATTGCATAAACATCTTTCTTTCTGGATTCTAAGTAAGCTGGACTGTTTCTCAGCTGTTTGAACAAATAGTAACCTTGATCATTCTTTACAATTGTATCCATGCATTCCCCATTTCTTGCCTGGGCAGCAGTTAATTTGTTTGTACCAGTCTGAATTCTTCTAACAGCTAAATTTGACTTGTCATTTAATTGCTTCATCTGTATTTTTTTTAACTTAAAAAATATGTTAGGCACACTGTTTGCTGCACGTCTATCTTGACTTCGAAGTTCCCACTTAGCAATGTCACTATAATTAACTGGTACTTTTCTGTGTTCATTATCAATTCGCCTTTGACCGCAAAATATGCTAGGGAAACACAGATACTCTGAATCTTTATCTTGAAAAATACTAAGTGGTCGCTGACCCTCACCAGGTGCAAATGTAAAAGTAGCATGTCTGTTTTCAATATCTGCATCATCTAAAAGAGTGTCAATATTTCCAACATTTTCATTAGTAACTTCTTCAGCATCAGAGTCATACAAATCTTCTAGTGCTGAATGAGAACTTTTATTTTCAGCATTCTTTACTTTTGCACAGTCAATAACTTCACCAACACAGTCTTCAAAGTCAACAGTGCCCAGTGTTTTACATAGCTTAATATTTTCCTCAAAATATTTGTGCAATACATGTGAGGCATTATCACTCGAACAACGAGAATTATTCAATGCATCTACATTGTTATCAGTGTCACACTCTGGCACGATTTCAGATGTTACTTTTGACTCGAAAAATTCATTTATGACTTCATTACTGTTTTCTGTAACATCCTTTATCCACTGCTCATCAATGTCAATATTTGCATTTTTATAAAGATTGCTTTTGTTCATCAACCAATGTAAAGCAATAAGTACTCGAAGTGGCCGAACATTTTCAGAAAATGCACATGACTGAAAAGACATCTTTTTTTTTAATTTCACAGCTACAGTAATGTTTTCATTCATGGGTCTTGGTAGAGTGTTAACAACTGGTTGGATATCAACTGGAACATTCACAACATTCCCTTTTATAGATAACTGACGCCCCCTTGGTAGTTCTCTAATTTGCATAAATGGAATACGTAATGCTATTAAGCGTTCTTCAAGAGGAAACAGTTCCAATTCTTTTGGTTTTGTTGGCCATTCCATTCCATTCAAAACTGACAATTTAGGTAATGTCCCCTTTTTAATATTATGCTTACATGTAACACATATCCATTCTTTTTCAGCTACTGACTTAAGACCAGTTATGTACTTATTTTTGTCTTTACAAGTAAAAGTAAGGACCTCTGATACAGATTCCTTAAACCACGTCTGGTGGCATGAACTACAAACATAGATGGGACCTTCTTGTATGTTTTGATGGAATTTCGCAATACACTCTTCTATATCATTACCACTTTTTTTTCGTTTTGCAGTTACCTTTTCTGCTTCTGAAAATAATGGATTTTTACGTTTTTCAGATTTTCTTTTACAATCTAGTATTTTTTCTTTGCTTTTGTTTCTTTCATCTAATCTCCGCTGTTGCTTAGCAACTCTTTCTTTTTCTAATGTATATGGATTTAATCTTGCCTTTCGTTTTGATTTATTCTGTACATCAGTTTCTTTTTGTTTAAATGCTTCATCTGTCCGTGCCTTTCGTTTGGACTTATTTTGAACCTGTATTTCTTTTTGTTTAAATGCTTCATCTGACCGTGCCTTTTTTTTGGACTTATTTTGAACCTGTATTTCTTTTTGTTTAAATGCTTCATCTGTCCGTGCCTTTTTTTTGGACTTATTTTGAACCTGTATTTCTTTTTGTTTAAATGCTTCATCTGTCCGTGCCTTTTGTTTGGATTTATTTTGTATTTGCATTTCTTTATGCTTGTATTCTGGACATTTTCGAGATTCCTGTTTAGCTATTTTCTCTTGCTCTAAAATAAGTGGATCTGACCGTGCCTTTTTTTTGGACTTATTTTGAACCTGTATTTCTTTTTGTTTAAATGCTTTATCTGTCCGTGCCTTTTGTTTGGATTTATTTTGTATTTGCATTTCTTTATGCTTGTATTCTGGACATTTTCGAGATTCCTGTTTAGCTTTTTTCTCTTGCTCTAAAATAAGTGGATCTGACCTTGCCTTTTGTTTGGATTTATTTTGTATTTGCAATTCTTTATGCTTGTATTTGGGACATTTTCGAGATTCTTGTTTAGCTATTTTCTCTTGCTCTAGAATAAGTGGATCTGACCTTGCCTTTTTTTTAGATTTATTTTGTATCTGAATTTCTTTTTGTTTGAATGCTTCGTCTGACCTTGCTTTTCGCTTTGACTTTAAAGTGAATTCTTTATCTTTTACTTTGAATTGATCACTTTGCCTTCGCTTTTGCATGTACAGTCTCATGTAGGCTTTTCTATCACTTTCTCCTTCTTTATTCTTCTGTTGCTGTTTTTGGTATTGGTGTTTAAAGTACTTCCCAATCAATATTGTATCATTTTTTACTTTTGTCTTAAGCCCAACTGCAGGATAGCTATATGTCCTTTCTTTTACTTTATGGTCAATAGACTGTTGCTTAATGTTTTTTTTAACTACTTCACATAATTGTTCATCTCTTGGCATGACAGAAAAGTTAGTGGATTTCTTTTGCTTTTTGTAAGAAACTGTTTGCCAAACATCATCAGCATCAGTTTTGCTGATATCAGTTATTTTCTGCTGATTGTTAATGTACATATTATGGTATTGTGAAGTGCATTGAACTACATTAAAGTTTAAAGGCAATATTTCATATTGGCTCATTATATCAATATTTGCACTTTCATACATAGCATACATAAATGTGACAAGGTTTTCAAGTTTATGAAATGACATCAATACAGACTTTCCATCAACATCTGACAGTCCATATTCTCCATGTGAATGTGAATCAAACAGCCAAAACTCTTCATCTTTAAGAAACACCGCAGAACAAATTGATCCAATCATGACCAATGCATGGTTTGCTCTTTGAAATGTTGCATACAAGGCTTGATGTAAAGTTGGCAAGTCTGTATCTCCGAAATGCTGAATAGTCAATCCTGATACAATGTTTCCTTTTCTTATTTGTACAACTTTGGACAAAACATTCACTTGATCAGGCATTTCATCAAGACTTAACAATCGATGCTTAAATCTACCAAGTTGTTTTAAATTATTAACAACATTCCTGTACAGCTCGTCTCCAATGTTTAAGACCTCATCAATATTTTCTGTTGTTATCAAATCAGAATATTTTGAATATATCAAAGCACATAATGAGTTAATAGTACATTGACTACCTCTAGTTTGAATAGAAAATCTATTATTTGCTTGACTGAAAGAACCAAATACTAACGACAAGCAGCTGAAGGGCATACCAGTGCAATATGACTCATAAGACTTATTCACAAGTTTGCTTTGTTCTTTTTCGATTGCAGAAGAAGTATTGCATATTCTTTGATTCAAATTTGAGTTTTGAGATAATATTTGTTCCATTTCGGAATATATAGCATTTGTTTTGTTTGAGTTTTGTTTTGTGTTTGCCGTACTGATGGACGGACTTGCAAGCGCCCTGAAAGCTCGTGCACTGACCAGACTTATATCAGGTGCTTTTTGGGCTCTGAATGCCGTCAAATTGACTGGACCTACATCAGTTGCCCCAGCGACCATGTCTGCCGGCACGATGACCGGACCTATGACAGGTGCTGATGGGGCCCTGTCTGCCGGAATAATGACGGGACTTATGACAGGGACTACATCAGGATCTTCTGCCAACGTCTGCTCCCTCGTTACCAATATTGCCCTCCTGGCCTTTGCCTTCTTCCATGCTTTACTGAGTGGCATGTCTAACTGAAATGATAAATAAGCAAGAGATGAGATACAGCTCTTTGTTACAGATTTTACAACATAAAAACATGTTTAGGTCATGAAATTTTTTGTTTTGCAATCAGAAAAGTTCAGGCACAAAAACCATATTTTCATGTTAACAGAATGAGTTTACAAAGATATTGTCAAAATTTGGCATTTGCTTAAAAATCCCGATTTAAGCTGCTTTAATTCACATTTGCTTACACTGATAAAGCTGATATTAATAAAATTGGAATTAATTAACAGGATCAATAAAATAGTCTAAAGCTAATTTTATCTTGACTTTTTTTCTTTTTAAGAACAAGCAAACTCAGCCTTGAAACTCATTACTACTGTTTTACCCATTAATTTTAGCAAAGACATACCTTTCCTATGCTGGAAAGCTACCACTGGAGCAGTTCTAACAGTTTCCAATGAAACAACGATGTGGCAGAAGCACTTTGTAATTTCAGAAACACTAGAGTGTCACAACCTTATGTCACAAGGTATTAAATGTCACTATGTCACAAGGTATTAAATGTCACTAGCACTATAAGTGTCACAATGTATCACATATCACAAGCACAATGCACAATCACAAATATGTTGTCTCTGTTATATATCACAATGTTATTTCACAAAAAGTCTTGTCAATAAATATTGTTTATCTACGGTTATCTTTCAAATAGTCTCTTCTATAAATGTTTGTGTCCAATGGGACGATACTATGAAAAATATAATATATTACACCTACCTGGTACAGAAGACACACAAGATACTTATTTTAGATATACAATTTATGTTCTGTTAAACTTTATTTAAATAATATCTATCACAATTGTTCTTTCAATCACCTTCCTACATGTTTGTAAAACTCTTTTAATACTAAAATATGTGCAAAAATAATGAATATTTCTTTTATTTTACATTTTCAATTGAATCAAAAAGTAAATGGTGTAAGAAAGACAATATAAGCACAAGCATCACTGATCAGCCAGGTGGTTACATTTCCATTGTAAGAGACCCTCTTAACTCACTGATGAATATTTTAGGATCAAATCTGATCAACTAAGCATGAAATGAGTAAATATCATCTTATCATGTAAGAATGATTTTATGATTATTTAAATGAAATTTATAATTATGAAAACTGGTTTTCATCAATGGCACATTTTTGGTGAGGTTGGTCACTTCTTTTCAACTCGTTAATTGGATTATGCACTAATATGTAAGCCATTCAGTATCTCTGTACTGTCCCATCAATATGCAAATATGGAAACAAAAGAGAGCAAATAACATATATATCATTTAGTGAATATCTATCTAGAAATTTACAAGAATAATTTTCATTTACTATTTTTAGCTATGGCAGCCCCTAAAGGGATCCAAACAAAATTATGAAATTAAACGAATTGCAAGAACAAAATGCAAGAATACTTCAAACCAAAGTTGATGAATATCCATCTAGCGGATTTAGTGATTAATCTAGAAATTCCATATCATGCGTTCAAGGACTCCTATATGCCCCCCCCCCCAACTTTGTTTGTGAGGGTATAATTAGAGGTCAGTAGAGGACTAATAGATAATGATTTATACCAAGTATCTAAGCACTACGCCTAAGCTACATTATCAGACAAGAAGATTTTTAAAGATTTACTATATAACATTATGTAATAAAACTAGTGACCCCCAGGGTGGTGACATTTTTGACCCAAGGGAAAAATTTCAACAACTTTTGTACAGACTACAGGATGATACACACCTAATATTTAAATAGGCATAGTGGATTTGGAGAAGTTTTTTCTTACATGAGTCTATGTAGAACAGTGATCCTGTGTCGGGGTCATAATTTTTTACCCAAGTGGGATACTTTGAACAATTTTGGTAGAGAACCACTAGACAATAATACACACCAAATATTAAGGCTCTAGCCAAAGAAAATTTTTAAAGTTAGTTCTTTCCATTGCCATGGCAACTAGACTTCTGCACGGAATTCAATTTATTGAACAATTTTCAAAGGTGACAGTTTGGTTGAAATTGGGTTAACTGTTTATGAGGAGATGTAGTTTAAGACTGATGCCAGACGAATTTAGATCACAAAAGCTCAACTCATCACTTTGTGACAGGTGACTTAAAAGTCTTTAATTTTGACCCAAGGGCTTTTATTTAAACAAACTTGATCCCCCCCAACCACCCCCCCCCCCCCAACGTTGCAGGGCCAATTTAACCCAAGGGCTTTTATTTGCACAAACTTGGTAGACACCCATAAGAAGATGTTTCATGCTAAACATCTAAGCTCTAGCTCATTGGGCTTTTTAAAAGAAGATTTTTTTTAAGTTTTTACTATACACATATAGTTAAAAACAATGACACCCCTGGGGCCGGGCCAGTTTTGACCCCAGGGCTTTTATTTGAACAAACTTTGTAGACACTTACTAGAAGATGTTTCATGCTTAATATCTTAACTCTAGCTATTTGGGTTTTTTCAAAGAAGATTTTAAGTTTTTGCTATACACATACAAAGAAAATCAATGACCCCCGGGGCGGTGCCAATTTTGACCCCAGGGCTTTTATTTGAACAAACTTGGTAGACACCTATAAGAACATGTTTGATGCTAAATATCTTAGCTCTAGCTCTTTGAGTTCTTTAAAAGAAGATTTTTTAAGTTTTTACTATATGCATATAGGGAAAATCAATGACCCCCCGGGGCGGGGCCAATTTTGACCCCAGGGCTTTTATTTGAACAAACTTGGTAGACACTTATTAGAACATGTTTCATGCTAAATATCTTAGCTCTAACTCTTTTGGTTCTTTAAAAGAAGATTTTTTAAGTTTTTACTATATGCATATAGGGAAAATCAATGACCCCCTGGGGCGGGGCCAATTTTGACCCCAGGGCTTTTATTTGAACAAACTTGGTAGACACCTATTAGAACATGTTTCATGCTAAATATCTTAGCTCTAGCTCTTTGGGTTCTTTAAAAGAAGATTTTTTAAGTTTTTACTATATGCATATAGGGAAAATCAATGACCCCCCGGGGCGGAGCCAATTTTGACCCCAGGGCTTTTATTTGAAGAAACTTGGTAGACACCCATTAAAACATGTTTCATGCTAAATATCTTAGCTCTAGCTCTTTGGGTTCTTTAAAAGAAGATTTTTTAAGTTTTTACTATATGCATATAGGGAAAATCAATGACCCCCCGGGGCGGGGCCAATTTTGACCCCAGCGCTTTTATTTCAACAAACTTGGTAGACACTCACTAGAAGATGTTTCATGCCAAATATCTAAGCTCTAGCTCTTATGGTTTCTTAAAAGAAGATATTTAAAGTTTTTTCTTTCGGTTGCCATGGCAACCAGAGTTCTGCATGGAATTAAATTCTTTGAACAATTTTTGAAGGTGACCACCAAAGGAACATTCCTGTGAAGTTTGGATGAAATTGGCTTAGTGGTTTATGAGGAGATGTCATTTAAAGTAAAAGTTTAGGGACGGACGACGGACGACGGACGGACGGACGGACGGACGCCGGACGAAAAGCGATCACAAAAGCTCACCCTGTCACTTTGTGACAGGTGAGCTAAAAAGCTCATGCACGTTGTAGGATAAATACTGATATTTGTGTTTTTGTGGTATTTGTTGTCTAAATGACGTTTTAAGTATGGCATGGAATTTTATTCGAAACACCACCGAACATTTAAATAGGGAAAAGCAAACATGAATGTTTGGGAAAAACAAACGATTTTTTTCTCTCATTTGTTTGTCTCAAAATTTCAAAATATGAGGATCATAGTTCTTTCAATCAAATAACTCACTTGGTTTCCAAACCTTTATATTTGATGAATAGGTTTGTCATTAACAGTATATGACTTCTATTTGTTGATGTTCAAGGTAAGATTGACCACAAAACGTTTGCGGGATAATTTTGCATATAGACCCTATAATAAGGTGATGAAAATCGTGTCATATGTGTTACATTTACATCTTTTTACATCTTATAAGACTGTGTGCAGAACCAACATTTCAGACACGCTTAAGTTTCACAATTTGTATTTGGTTATATGTATATTTTAGACAAACTTCTTGTACGGGCATTCATTTTCTTAAAAGGTTTTAAATTGTATTTTGCAGGTTTGTTCATAACAAAGCAGTCCTGTTGGATATAACAATGCCATGTCGAACATAAAAAGTGATCAAATAATCATTATTCTCTATCACATTTACACTTTTCCTAGATGTTCCATTTGAATGATGTTTCACCTAATACAATAATATACATGAATACCAGCAAATAGAAACTCTACTGATTATTTATCTCAAAAGTAACCAGGATGTCTTCGATGATTTAACTGCTGGGCTTTTTATCAATTCAAAGATAATTTGTGGTTAATTAAAATATTTATTGGCAAAATGATATGATACAATATATTACACAAATGTCACTGTCAGCATACTTTCAGAGAGATAGTTCTCCCTTTACAGTAAATGAAATGGATACACTAGCGTTTCTTATAATTTATTGTCTTCTATAAATACACTTAACAAATCTTATAACTGTGCACGTATAAAAATCAAATTTTCTCAGATACTAATAATCATAGGTCTCTAAAATTCTAACCAAGTATAGTACAGATATGTGCAATGATGGGTACCGATTATTATGTCAGGGCGATTCGTATTTACTGAGAAATAGCGATGTGTGCAAGATTGCGCGAAACCCGAATTTCACATTTCTATAAATTGCGTATTTATAATGGGTGCAAGAAGGTCTAGATCTCTTGATTTCACTAAAATACAAACATAAAACATAGGATCACTGATAGGGTATAATACTACAATGAATTCCAGGGCATTATGTCACTGTGATTTTAATATTTGCTTTATTGAATTTCAGTAAAGACTGGTTTATGTCGATCTCCGTAACGCGTTGTACCCAGTTACTAAAAGCAATGCAAACACGATATTTTCATTAATATGAAAGTACCAAGAAAGTTTGTTTTTAGTTTTAAAGTAAAATCTTAGTCAATATGTTTATTTGAGAAAATATTATGCAAATTTATTTTCAAAATGGGCGCCCGAAATGCAAATTTCCTTGCGTAAAACTTCTAGACGGCCATTTTTCTTTCAATTGCAAAAAATCTGCAATTTAGTTTTGATTTTCGGATGTCTTTATTTTAATAGAATCCTTGATGGTCAATAATAACCTCATTTAGCACCAACCTGTCATCCTCACGTTCACTTTGTTGTTTGTGTCATGTCACGGATGAACGCACACAACAAAAATAACTGTTATTTTTGAATATAGCATTGTAAAAATAAACAATTCAAACGATGAATTACAAAATTTGGGTAAAAAATGTCAAGTATTGAAAAAATTATTCACATTTAAAAACTGCACAGTTATAAGTTTTGTTAAGTGTACTAGATTACACCACAAGTGGTAACATATCTCTAAGTCCATTTTACACTAAATATCTTGATTATATCACGAGAATATATATTTTTTTCAGATGAACAACTAATGTACAGTTTATGAGTTCTATCATTGTAATATACAGCCACTGGATTATTAAAATGTCTGTTTTCTCAATGCCTACAATTTCACATTTCTTGAAGCTGCTCAACAATCTTACAATATTGCTACTGCTTCTGCAGCATACTAACAACGTACCATCATCCAACTCTTGTATTCCTTCAGGATATTTATATTCTTGATCCTCGAATCTTTGTACACATTTACCTTGCCAGTCTACTTTTACAACTCTACTATGCTGATAGTAAAAATCAGATACATAGATGAACTTCTCATCACTGCTGATAACAATCTTTTCGGGCCCCTTAAACAAGCCAGGAGTATCAAACACCTGTATCATATTTCCGTCTAAATCCAGAATAACCAGCTTTCCTGGATTACAATTACAGCCCACTACTAGCTTGTCCTGACAATATGCTACACAATAACACGATTCTCCGACATCTATACGACGATCTAAAGACAAACTTGTATCAGTGTAAGACACTATCTGGATATACTTTTCAGCAAGTAATGCAACAGCAAATTTATTTTGTGGAAGTTTAATAACATCTTGTGGTGATGTAGACAGGATCATCTCTGATACCAGCGTTCCTTCGTCTATATTTATTATTTTAATTTTGTTATTGTCGTTGTCAGCGACGATCATATTTGTTGTGGAAATTAGTACCATTCCGGAGATATTGCTTCTTGACTCATCAGAGGGGGATTGCACTTGAATTTCTCTTTCATACTGGACATATACTGCACTTTCTGCACAAGGTCTCCTGTATGTAGAAATCGTTCCAAGAATGTTGCTACTTTTCAGTTTATTAAGTGTCTTCTCATTTTGTAGGAATATGATTTCAGCATCTGTTTTCATATCTTCAGCTAATTGTTTCTCTTTATCCGATAGTTTTGCAACTTGAGGCTCAACGTGTTTCATCTCAATAAACAGCTTATTCTGCTTGTTTTCGTCGCTAAGAGACTTGAGCACTGACATTGTACTTGACATTTCCTCTGCGATATGTAAGCTTCCTGTCAATACATTTTCTTGTTTACTCTTTGCTGTCAGTGCGATAGATTTAGCGTCCCTCATAATTTCGGCTTCCATCTTATCCAGACATTCGTTTATTTCATTTCTGAAAACTTGTATATCTTCAACAACGGCCGTATACATGTGTTCTATATTTGATGTAGCAGTCTCGGCAATTCTAACATTAGATTTACACTTTTGCATAAGTGTCTCCATTCTGTCAATCATTTTTTCAAGCTCACCAGACAAATTTCCTGAAACATCGGGAATATAGTCTACTTTGCAGTGCTTGTGCTCTAGAGTCACACAAACATAACACGCGTTAGAATCATGTGTGTTACAATAGAATTCCAGTGGTTTATCGCTATGTTTTGTACAACAATCAGTTATTTGATCATTTTTTACATTCCCAGTCTTCAATTGCTGTGGCATTCTGTCTTTATCAAGCAGAACGTGGTTCATAGTAGGTTTTGGTTTCCTGTGGTGTTTATAACAACTCTCACAAAGATGTTCATCGCAGTCCTGGCAATAACCAAAAGCTGGTTCTTTTAAACCATCTCTGTCGCAAGGAAAGCAGTAAAGATTGGAATCTTGTTCTGAAGAAACAGCAAATTTCCCCGACACTTCCATGTTTTTATCTGTAATAAAGATCGGAAAGGAACGTGTATTTTACGGAAGATTAATAATCATCAAAGGTAAGTAATAGAAAAAGCATCGAAACACGAGGCTATCTGATTTGTACGATGGGATTGCCGAGTGTTTCGATGTTCTTTCTATTTTGTATCATAGTCAAACATAACTAGAACTATCACTAAATGTGGTTAATAACCCCGCAAGACTGCTTCGGAAATGAGAAAGTTACTAGTAACAGAATACCTTGCAAAATAATTGAAATAAAGTTATGGTTGTGGGCAATAGGGCAATTAAAGATAGTTGTGGTTCTTTTACGTTGCATCTCCTTTCAATGTGGTTGACCATTGATGAAGTTTTAAATTACTCTGTAATAAGTCCAGAAAGAGTTACACTTCTTGAGCACTGCACTTCCTCTCATTGCGCTTGACCATTGTATGAAGTTGCATTGAATTCAAAACATTAATTTTTAAGTTATTCATCGTACAATGAAGAGGAACAAAGAGCAATAACTCTACAAATACTGCAGATTGAGTTATGGTTATTGTACACTGCACTTCTTCTCATTGTGCTTGACCATTGTATGAAATTGTATTGAATTCCAATTACTAGTTTTCAAGTTATGCACTGGACAAAAAAGTAACAAAGGGCACTAACTGTAATTAGTTCAAATAAAGTTATGGTTCTTGTGCACTGCACTTCATCTCACTGCCCTTGCCCATTCTATGAAGTTTCTTTCCAACCATTATTTTTCAAGTTATGCACTTGACAATAAAAAGTAACAAAGGGCAAACTCTTAAATCAGTCAATAAAGAGTTATGGTTTCTGTGCACTGCACTTTCTCTCAATATACTTGACGATTGTATGAAATTGTATTGAATTCCAACCAGTACTTTTAAAGTTATGCTCCGGACAAGGAAAAGTATCGAAGGGCAATAACTCTGTAATTTGTCAAAATAGTGCGATGGTTCTTTTGCACTGCGCTTTCTTTCATTATGCTTGACGATTGTATGAAGTTGTATTGAATTCCAACTAATAGTTTTCAAGTTATGCTCTGGACAAGAAAAAAGCAATGGAAAAGTAACTGTCAGAATAATCATACAGTTTTACTGTACATAGTTTTTTTTACAACGAGTCAGCGATACACTGAAGTGTATCATATTTCAATGTACAGTTTCATTTATAAACCTGTTGCTGGGAGTGTAAAATTTATCTACATGTTTAAATGTCAGATCGTTTATGCTAGCAAATATGCGCGTTTAGAGAGAGATTTTACATCAGTTAGGAGACACACGCTTATAGTGTGAGGGGTTATTTTTTTATTGGGAAAAGAATTTTGTTGTTTTGAAGAGAATTTTGTTGTTTTGAAGTCAGTTTTGTTGGTTTGTTGAAGTGGTTGAATATAATTGTGGTGATCTTAATTGATCAGGGTTTATTGGTTGTAATTTGTTGTTTTGGTTGTTGAGTTATATCTGTTTGTGAAGATATAATTGGTTGATATTGGTTGAATGTTTGGTATTATATCAAGATTATATTAGTTGCTGCTTTGTTTTGAGGATATATGTAAATATTGGGTGCTTTAGTTTAATTTGTTTTCTGATGCTGATTAGATTGTGTGAAGTTAATATTGTTGAATGAATGTTTGTGGTTTATACCGTATCTTAGAGTTGTAAAAATATTCATTTTCTGTGTTCTTCATTTTTGTGGTGATTTTATTGTTGTTTGATCATAAGTTGTTTAGAGCTTGGGCTCGCCAGGTGTCTTGTTTTGTGTAAAAGACGTATACGTGAAAAGATATTTTATATAAGTGGCTGATAAATGATGTGTGTTTGTTTTGGGTGTAAATAATGATCAGAGTTCTTTGTTTTGGGTGTAAATAATAATCAGAGTTTATTGTTTACATGTATATATTGATTTGAGATAGAAAAAGATAAAAATACCTAAAAAAAATAGTGTTAACTAAACAATTACATGCTAGTTTTCCAACTGAGAATATTTCACTTTTATGTCAGGCGGTGCTGCCCAGCCTCCATATCTTGGAAATTGGTTCTAGTATTTATTTCTAAATCTTTTCTTCGATTAAATAACATCAAGGCAGACATTTTCTCCTGACAGTAACAAAGGGCAATTACTCTATAATTACTCTGGACAGAGTTACGGTTCTTGTGCACTGCAATTGCTTTTTGTGCTTGACCATTGTATGAAGTTGTTTTGAATTCCAACCAGTACTTTTCAAGTAATGCTCTGGACAAGGAAAAGTATCTAAGGGCAAAAACTCTGTAATTTGTCAAAATGGTGTGACGGTTCTTGTGCACTACACTTCCCCTTTTTGTGCTTGACCATTGGATAAAGTTGTTTTGAATTCCAACCAGTAATTTTCAAGTCAAAATGCTCCGGACAAGGAAAAGTAACAAAGGGCAATAACTCTGTAATTAGTGAAGATGGAGTTATGGTTCTTGTGCACTGCACTTCCTCTCAATGTGTTTGACCATTGTATGAAGTTGTATTGAATTCCAACCATTAGTCTTTAAGTTATGCCCCGAACAAGGAAAATGCAACGGACCGCTGGACCGACCGACCGACCAACCAACCGACCACCGAGTGACTGCTTTATATCCCCCCAAACTTCGTTTCAGTGGTATAAAAACACGTTCCCTGTTGTCACAATATAAAACCCCAGAAAAAAGTAACCAATGAACCAGCATCTGAATATGATACTTTTATCGCTTTCCCTTTCTTTGCCGCCACAATAAGTAAACCCCAGCAAAAATAAGCCAATCAATGGGCATGCTCTGGAGTGCGGGTAACTAATACCTGCACTCCAGTTAACGCACTTTGCATGTATATGTATACGATTTAACTCTGACACATTTTCAAAAGAAAGGTCCCCAAACACAATGAGTAAAAAATTAACTATAAGTAATAAAAAGAGCATCGAAACACGAGGCTATCTGATTTGTACGAGGGGAAGGGGGGGGCGTAGCTCCCGAGTATTAATCAGATTACCAAGTGTTTTGATGTTCTTTCTATTTTGTGTCATAGTCAAACAGAAAAACACGTTCCCTGTTGTCACAATATGAAACCCCATGAAAAAGTAACCAATGAATGAGCATCTGAATATGATATTTCTGTCTGTTTCTTTGCCGTCACAATTAGTAAACCCCAGCAAAAATGAGCCAATCAATGGGCGTGGTCCGGAGTGCGGGTATCTAATACCTGCACTTCAGTTAAGCACTGTGCATGTATATGTATACGATTTAACTCTGACACATTTTCAACAGAAAGGTCCCCAAACTATGATACAATTTTTGCTTGAACTTCACATTAACACGTTTGATTATCTTAGACAGATTAAGTAATCCATTTATTAAATAAGGAATGCATGTATGTCAACAATCTGGCTGTTAATTAAAGTTGTTTGAAAATCCTTTTCAATAGTTTTACCTTTTTAATAAAACTTTCAATAGAATGTAAATTAAATTATGCACGTAAATTAATACATTCACAGTTTTCATTTTTATCGATATACATGTATGTTGCTTTTAATATAAATGCAATTTGAACAAAACGGACCGTTTTCTCACTTTAATAATTCTTAATTCTTGAACGAGACATTTATACTAAAGTGCCTGTCATATACATTAAGTAGGCCCACAGTTTTATTACTTTAGAAAGATTATCACGTATCTCTTCAAAACCAGTAAAGCCCAATTCTAATTTTCAGAAAATGAATTGTTACTAGTGGTTGGCCTACATTTTGGTTATCAATTTATCGATATATCATAGACTTACGGCGTTTGCAGTGGAATACGTTTATTTGTACACATGCGAATATTCATTTTCCTACATGGATACTTACTTTTAAAATATTTTACAACAAAACATAATGTATATTCTTACCTTTCTTTCTTCCTTATCCAGTGCAAACATGAACTTGGTAGGGTAAAATAGAAAGTTCCAGTACACGGAATCCGGAACACAGGATATTCTCCGCCTTACGGAGACGGCCCACTGAATTTTCGACCCATATATCCTATAGTAAATCCATCACATTTAAGGCTAAATTCTGGACAAAGCAAATCCGGTACCGAAACTTCATGACCATTTCTTTAAACACCAATGCAGTCCAAGTAAATTTAGCACAAAAAATAATACATTAGCCCTTGGAGTTTTTCTGCAGCTTTTAATATCTATAATCACTATATATTATTCCAAATCGTAACTGGTGTGTATTCTTGTGCATAGTGCCTCCTGAAACTGTCCATACCAGAATGAATCTTGGCAAAATACATCAAAAACACTTTAAAAGTAACTCAGACATGAAAAATTTATGTACACAATTTACTAAGATATACTAAAATATAAACTGTATCAATTAAGATGACTTGAAATAGGCATTTTCTCAAATTTAACAGAATACTTTCTGACTAACGGGCTGGGTCTATTCCTACGGATGTTGGACCTAATGATCCAATTTAGTTAAGACCATAATCTCATTTCTGTAATTAGTGTTTAACAGTACAAATCATTGAGGTTTGACATGTCTCTAACCAATTCATTCAATGGCCAGTACAATGCATCTTTAAATATGAACCTTCGTGCGACAAAAGTCAGGCTCAGGCCATAGAATTTTACGCTAAAAATAATATATTACCACAATTCTGTCATAATCTTTTGATTCTTTCATGGATTTTCTTCGAAATAAAGTTAAATTTTACCGCGCTTGTACATAATTTATTTTTATGAAGACGATAAGACCTTATTGCTTAAAAATATGTTAAGTAGAAACTCCATTTCTTTTAAACTTGAGAGCTTGAAATTTTGGGTTAAAAATACAAAGTCAATGTTCACAATTAACATGTGCTTTTTTTATAAGCTTTTTCCTTCCAATATTGTAATTAAACTTATGATTATGACTTTTTACCATATCATAGGTTAATTAATAGTCAGAACCACCATACAACCTACATTGTTTGTTAAGAATATCAATAAGACAACAGCCCGCGCTAATCTTAGGTTAGCAAAGGAGTTACCATATTCACCTGCTATGTCTTCCTCTGACAAAGTAGCATTAAGCAACTTTCACCAAATAAGCTAAAAAAGATGACAACATACCGGTACCCTTTAATCATTGAACAAAGTTTAATTTCATCGAATTAAGAGAATTTTTCGTCTTGATATAATCAAATACTACCGAAATTTGCCGAGGCCTTGGAGCCGCTCCGTCAATAGCTGAAATTTACAAACTTAGACATATGTTATTACCGTTCTCAATGGTGTCCTGACACGAAGCTGATGCCACACTGGTGAGGACAGTCCCTTCAATGGAATTTTTTTTTTTTTCTTTTAAACCCAGATCTTTAGGTTAGGTCCTGTACTCAACCAGGGCTTGGTCTGCCGTCTGAAATAATATGCAAACACTAGTATACATGCCTAGGAAATTATAAGAGGCATTTTGCCTGCTAATCTCTATTGAAAAAGAAATTTAAAACTACATGTACTAAATTAATCAAAATGGTAGATTTCGCTATTCACACTTGGAAGCAATATATAAATATGTGTGCTGGATAAAAATGCATGCTGCCATGAAGCAGTTTAGACATTGTTAAACCTAACTAATTTAATGTGCATGTAGCAGCGTACGAACAACACAAACAATCATATCAACTGTGTTAATTCTAAATGGCAGTTATCATTTAAGTACACGGTTTATGAACTAGAAAATGTGTATATTTATAGCAATTACATTCTTAACAGCAACACCAAGGTTCATACATGTCACTGAAATGCTATATTCAAATATAAATACATTTTGTCCTGTTTAATTGTAGTTTTTGCTTCATGAATACAAGACAAATAAGTGAATTTTACATATTGCATACTTACAGATCATCCTTTGCGGGGGCTTTGAAAAAAACACTATCAAAAAAATCAAACATATAATGCTGTGGTCCATATGAGACAATATGATACTGAGTGCTTAGTTCGAAATCCTGGCCGGTAGTTTTGGCCCCACACGATCTCCTGAATGAGCTTGCCAATCACTTTTTTTGACCAATGTAATCCATCTGAAATCACCCACTCCCATTCTTTGCAGCATTAGTTTATCATAAATTTTAAGATGCATTCTCTAATAATTATCAATTTTCTATATGATCTTATACAATAAGCCTCAGATATAAATTGCTATATTGCTAAAACACAGGAATGCAATATAATTTATCATTTCTAATAACTGCTTTTTTAAAATTTTCCATTTCAATTTTTTTAATTTTAAATCATTACAGTTTAATTCAATAAATGGGTAACTCTTCATGACAAAAGCTCTGTTACTTCTCCCTGCTTAACGTAGCAGAACTACATTTGAGGGGAAAGATAACATTTAACAACTATGACCATTTTCAACAATGTCAAAATTCAATAATTTGAAAGATAAAATTTAAATTTTCAAACTGTCAGTTATCTTATTTTCCGCTGATTCCTATTATTAAAACACAACACTGATGCAAGTTTCATCCATATCACTAACCCAGTTCCCATTTCTTCATTTCTCTAATAATTTAGGAAGACGCCCAATGGAATTTTCCGAGCCTACGTATCCTATACGTAAATCCATCAAGTGTTAAGGCTAAATTCCTAGGCACCAAAAGCACAAATCCGGTACCGAAACACTTATCAGTGAACCATTCTATTAACACAATGCAGTCCAAGTAAATTTAGCACAAAAAATAATACATTAGCCATTGGATTTTTTCTGCAGCTTTTAATACTCGTATAATCACTTATATTATTCCAAGTAATGGTGTTATTCTTCGTGCATAGTCTCCTGAACCTTCCAGCCCGAGAAATGAAAAATCCTTGCAAAACATACATCTAAAACAACCTTTAAAAGTGACTCAGAATGAAAACTTTAATGTGACACAATTACTAAAGACTAGTACTAATAAAATATACCCAGTATCAATTAAGATGAATTTGAAAACTAGGCATTTTCAAAATCTTAAAAGCACTACTTTCCTAGGACGTACACGGCGGTTAATTTCGTACCGGAGTTGACCTAAATGAATCCAAATTTCTAAGTTAGAGCCAAACTGCTTACTCATTTCCATGTATTTAGTGTTATACAGTAGTACAATCATAATAGATTGAAATGGTCTCTAACCAATCACATTATTGTAGTACAATGTCTGTATATGACCTTTCGTGGAAAAGTCGCGGTCGTCCAAATTAGAATTATACGCAAATTTATTATTACAATATCTGTTCATATTGTTTGATTTTTGGTCAATGGATTTCTTCGAATAAAGTTAAATGCTAGGCTATGTCATCATTTATTTTATGAACAGAATAGACCTTCTATTGCTTAAAATTGTAATAAGACAACTCCATTCTATAGTAAATGGAGGCATGAATTTTGGGCAGTTAAAATACATGTAATCACCATTAATGGCTGCTTTTTTCATAACTCTTTTCTTCAATATTGTAATAAACTTACTGAATTATGATTTTCTACGCCTATATACCATGGTAATAAGTAAAGACACACCATACACACCTAATTGTTTGATTAGATTCAATAAATCAAACAGACGTATCTTAAGGTTAGCAAAGAGGTTCCTATCCATGGGCTATGTCTTCTGACAAGTGAATTAGCCAACTCTCCCAAAATAGGCTTAAAAAGGATACACCATCGTTCTCTCCACACATTTATAAATCATTGAAAGTCTTTAATACTAGTCGATTAGATAATTTCTTCTTGATATACATCAAAATAACTACAAATATTGCCCCGAGCATTGGGAGTCGCTCCGTCAAACTAGCCTGAAATTTCAAACACTAGACATACAGATTTACCTCCAATGTGTCTTGAAAAGTTGCTGCCAAACTGAGCTGGAAGGCCAGTCCTTCCAAGATCTTACGGATAGGTAGGGTCTTCACCTCAAAACCCAGGCCTTGGTAACTGCACGTCTGAAAAACTATTGAACACTAGTACATGCCTAAGAAAAACTAATAAAGAGGCTTTATGCTTAATTCTGTTATCTGAAAGAAGAAAAATTACTATTATAATGGCTAGATTGCTATTCAACATGGAGAGCATTATATATTGATGTGGCTGATGGCATGCCTGCTGAAAAAAGCAGTTTAGAATTGTAAACTAACCTATTGTAACTGACTGTAAGCAGCTAACAAACCAACAACAATCATATCACACCTGCTAGTTATTTAAATGCACCAATGTACCATTAAGATACACTGTTCAATTGACTTTAGAAAATACTGATTGTAGCTATATTATAGCAAATACATTCTGCAACACAGCAAACACACAGTATTCACTACATGTACACTGAAATGCCTTATATTTCAAAATATAAATCAATTGATCTGTTTAATTGTCAGTTCTGCTCATTGAAATCTACAGACAATAGTGATATTTACATATCTGAGTACTACGCATCAATCTTTGCTGTGCAAAATCAAATATAATGTGTGGTCCATATGAGCATATGCTCTATGTCTTTTTCGAATCCCATGGCGGTGTTCTTGGGCCCCTAAGATCTCTGGATGGCTTGCATCACTTTTTTACCAAGAGACAATTCTTATATCACCAACACTCCCATTCCTATGCAGCAAGTTTATCTGATTTAAGATTGCATTTCTCTAAAATTTCATTTCTCTATATTGAAGTTTGATAAATAAGGCTTAGATTTACTTGCTATAATTGCTAAAAAAGGTGCAAAATATACATTTATCAATTCTATAAACTGCTTTTTTTAAAACAATTTACATTCATTTTTAATTTTAAAATTCATTTTTACGTTTATTAATTCATAAAATGTCGGTAAATCTTTCTGCAAAAGCTCTGTACCTATCTCAATGCTTACTAACACCAGTAGCGACATATGCATTTTGAAGGGACGTTTAACAATAAACAAATCATGACCCAATTTAAAATTCAAAATTCAAAATTTGAAATAAATTTTAAATTTTCAACTGTCA